CATCACGCGTCCACTGTGGATTTGCTCATCCAGGGCGAGTTCGGCTGGGACCCTGAGGAGTTTCACTATGCCTTGCAGGTGGGCAGGGCCATGGAGCTCCAACTGGTACAAGTACCTGCTCACCGTGCCGTTTATTCCTGTGATTCACTTCTTTGGCCTGAACGACACCGGCTCCCTTTTCGCCCTGGAGTGGTGGATGCACTTCCCGGATGAGGGCGCAGGCGGCAAGTGCAACAAGGAGCTTTCCAGCTGCAAGAAGACACGCAATGTGCACTGGAGGCTGCTTCAGGTGGGGTCTGTGGAGTAGGAATTGTGAGATTCCCGTCCAAGTACTTACCATTCAAGGCTTACGGGTGTCGGGGTGGGTATGAACCCAGTCGTCCTCGTAAGCTTGATTTGTTGTGGCTGATAAGGTTCTGGAGCAAGTGGGTTCCTCGCCGCATCAAACACAATGCTTTTGTCCTGTCCCTGTGGGCCTTCGTGTGGCTGCTCGGCACCTACCCTTTGGGACGCCCCTTGAGCAAGGGCTGGCGCTTCATGTTCACCGTGTCGTTCTTTGCCCGCATTGGGTTCTCGGCGGCCTGGATGTTCATCACCAACTTCACGTGCCTTTGCGGGTCAACAGAGGTTCTTCTGCCATTTGCACGTGGTCAGGGCAATGGTTTCCGCAGTGTAGCGTCGGCGTCGACGTAATAGAGGTTTGTGCACGCGCGCGCGCGCGCGCGCGCGCGCATGTCCAGCCAAGGCATTCCCTTCCTTGGAACGAGTTCCTCGCGCAGGATCCGGGCCGTACCTGGCCAGTGCTGCACAATGCCATGGCCATGGTTCTGGGTCCGAGATAGAAACTCTTTGTGCAAAGGTAAAAAAAGAAGCCAAGTCAGTTTTTTCTATACCAACAGCGATACTCTTCATCCCATCCTACGGTGTAGGTTCTGGGTGGCAAGGGGTGTAGGGTTTAGGGTTGCATCCTGTCCAGTCCGTGGTGAATTGCAACACCGTGCTTACACCCAACGCTGGTTGCGCCTCAAGTGCCCAGTGAAGTGAGGTTCACCATGCGTTCCCCAACGCTGTCGGCACTCTGAGCCAGCGCGGACGCTTCCATGGCTGGGAGAAGGTGCATGATGCAGCGGCCGAGGTTCTTCACCGCGGCTTGTGGAAGGCAAATGGCGATGAGGATTCTTCGCCAAAGTTCATATTGATTTTTTCCTTGTGGTCAACTCGTGGTTTTTACGTTCGGGGATCTGGATACTTGACGCAGTCTTGACACTATACAGTCCACAAACAATCAACAGCAATTTCGGCCAAGGAGACCCAGATGCAGAAAACTCAGAGGAAGCGCTCCCTGATGATGAAGCAGGGCAAGTAGACTCGCGTACTCATCAGATTGTCGTGCCCCCCAAAAGGCTGTCGGCTTGTACAGCACTCTGGGGGCCTCCTCCCTTCTAGAGGGATTTACCTGTACAGCCGCACAAGCGCGGACCACTGCACTCTGCACCTGAAGGTGCAAGGAGGGCAACCCATCGTCATATGGAGATTCGCTGAATGTTGGTTGCCTGTTGGGTTGTTGTTGTGATTTCCATTCGTTGGCTTTGAGTACGTATAGCATGACGAGTCGAAAGATCTGAGGTCACAGCCGTGACCCGACTCCACGCGGCACAGCGTCGTTGATGCCTGGTGCCGTCCACAGCTGGAAGACTTTGTCGGCTCGTGAAAGTCGATTTGGCGCATGAAGCTGCACGCATTGAAAGCTGCGATCTCAGAAGGACTGTGATTCACACAACAGATCATGTCATGCAGCAAGCGTGAACGGACACACAGCTTTAAAGTCAAAGCCGAAGCAGGACTCCGAACCTGAGAAGTTGCAGAATGTAGATTAGTGGAGCCTGCTTAGCCTTGAGGTTGCTAGATGCAGGAGGTTGACGAAAGGCTGTTGAGCCTTTTCAGTCTACTTCTTCAGCTCTACAAGAAGCTACCCCACCCCTCCCCCCCACCCTACCCCCACTCCCACTCCATACATTCGGCCCCCCAAAAGCACTCGGCACTCGTAGCGCGCAGCGCGCTGTGGAGCTGCTGCCATGGCGTGCGCTGGAGCTTTGCTGATGCGGCGCGCCCCATGGCTCATCGCACGGAGGCTCCGCGTGGCACGGCGTGGCGTGCACAAGTGCAGACACATTGTGGCGACACGGATTCGGAACAGGCACCGGAAGGGGCTTATTGCCACGATTGAGCAGTCCGCTGTCCAGGTGCCTCCGTCAGATGCCCATATGGAGGGTCGACCAACGCTGCTGCAGGGCATTGGCCAGCGGCACTCCTCCATTCGTGTCCCTTCGCAAACAGCAGTTTGAAGCTTGGTTTCAGCATGTGTCAGCCAAGTCCGAGTTGCATCCTCCGCCGTCCTTGCAAGATCGTACTGGGCACGATCATGTATGATCCTGTCGACATTGCATGTGCCAGCAAGGAAGTTGGCACAGCAACGCTGATCGAGGGCCTCGACCTGACCGTCCAAAGTGGCGAGCGGTGGGCCCTTGTAGGGCCCAACGGGTCAGGGAAGAGCAGGGTGGCCCAAGCTCTGTCGCAGAAATGGGCGTCGTCCTCAGAACTATGTTCGTTGTTATTTCTTGTATATCCCAGAGGTTAGAATTTACAATATATATATATATGTATATCTATGTATATATATATATGGATATATATATATATAGATATATATATGTATATGTATATAAAAAACCTGCATTCTATGTGTGTTGGCGTGCCGTGCCCAGACTCCTCAGGTCGCAGCCGGGGGGCCTACATCTGCAGGCCACGTGTCCTTTGATGACCAGCGGCGAATGCTGCAGGACCCCAGGTTTAGGGTTTAGGGTTTAGGGTTTAGGGTTTAGGGTTTAGGGTTTAGGGTTTAGGGTAGGGATTAGGGTTTAAATAGGGTTTAGGGTTTAGGGTTTAGGGTTATTGAGCCCTAAATTGCAACTGAAGACCCAAACAGGGCTTAGGACTTGGAAGTCGATAAGCCCTCAACATCTTCAAACCCTAGACCCACAGAGTGCGCAAAAGCTTAATCTAAGCAGCTGCAGAGACAGGGCGAGAATGTCACTAGGGTGTGGTTGTACAAGTGCTATGTAGGGGACTCTACAAGGAGGTAAATTAGACTTGTAACTCATTAGGAATCCGCCACAGGATGAGCGCAGGGACTTTCAGGAGAGCCGCTACGAGTCGCAGCACCTGCGCGCAACAGCCGCTCAGACTCCTTTGGCTTCTCTCGACATCAGCATTCCCTAAAAGCCACCCTAGACCCCAAACCCTAAGGGCCATGGCCGGATGTATATTCCCATAGCCCGTATAAACGTTTGCACCAAAGAGGATTTTGAATCCTGAGCGCTCAGGTTGCATCCTATCTCTTTCCCGACCGCTACCCTCAGGATCCTAACTACGACCCTGCTACCTGGGGAGACTCTGATGAAAGCTCGACTTGGCATAATTTTGCAATGTAGGGGTTTAGGGTTCGCTGGAGGGTTGCTGTAAACTTCCAAACGCCTCAACCCCTCAACCCCTCAACCCCTCAACCCCTCAACCCCTCAACCCTAAACCCTAAACCCTAAACCCTATAACCCTAAATCCTAAACCCTAAACCCTTGCAAACGTGTCCAAGGATACCGGCCGCCCCGGACACGCGTGTCACCACTTCCGGCGCCGTACGACGCCACCGGCTCCCACCCCCTGCTGCACGAGCTCGAAGCAGCGTCGACCACAGGCTGGGCCAGGATTCTGTAAGTTGAAAGATGCCACCTCTGCTCAGGCCGACCATCTTTTACCCTGTCACCGGGGTTTCGTACGTGCCATGTGTTGCATGTCACGGCCTGCTTCCAAAGGTGGTTCTTTCATTCTGGGGTTTGGAGTTTGGGTCATAGGCCAGCAACCTTGTAATTCCAAACTCAGCCCTAAACCCTAAACCCGAAACCCTAAACCCTAAACCCTAAACCCTGAACCCCTGGGAGGTGAGGCCGCTCGGCTGCTGAAGCTGTTCGGACTCTACGACCTGCGCCACCGGCCACTGTTCGCACTTTCCACCGGGGAGGCGGGGCCAAAGAGCGCCTGCCAACGGTTCTTGGAAGATGTATTTGGGCGGTTGTCAAAATTATGATCCCTTTGGGGGTACCCTATAGGGATGCAAAAAGGAACCATAATGTTGACAACCACGCAGTTAGTATCTCCCCCGTCATGACCTCAGGCTTCATGTCACACTCCTCAAAACCTCAGGCAGACCACTCAGCGAGCTCGCAGATGAGTATATTGGGTAGTTGAGTCATGATGTAAATGCTAGCAAGATGCAGAATAGAAGCTGCATCAAACAGCTCTCTCTTGGCCTTCTGCTGTTCGGGGGCAGGGCCGGAAGCTGTTGCTTGTGGACGCTCTTCTGAAAGAGCCGGGGCCTTTGTACTGTCAGGCTGCCTCCATGTGCTTCTCCGTCGTGCAATCGTGTTGTAAGATGGGGACTGGGGGGCTATTCTGGCCCCCAAGAACCCCAAGAACCCTAAACCCTAACCCAAGAACCCTAAAAAGACCTTGAGGTCCAGCCTTTTGGTGCTGGATGAGGCCTTTGACGGCTTGGACAAAGACTCCCGAGCCGAGCTGGAGAGCGTGCTGCAGGCGGTTTTTGAGGATGGAAGCAAGACCCTGGCGACCTGGAAGCAGTTTAGGGTTTAGGGTTTATAGGCTTTAGGGTTTAGGGTTTAGGGTTTATAGGCTTTAGGGTTTAGGGTTTAGGGTTTAAGGTTTAGGGGGAAGCAGTCATGAGCAGGAGGCGCGGAACACGCCCCCCCAACCGTAAGCTTCCCCAGGTTCCTTTCCCTTCTTTCGCTTCAGGACCTGAAGGGCCGCCGAGGGCATAGGTGGATCCAAGGTGATGATTGCGCACCGGGTGGAAGACCTGACGCCGGTGCCCACGCACGCGCTGCTCCTGGGCCAAGGGCCAAGCGGCACCGGCTGCAGTGCCTGGGATTATGGTGCTTACAGAGGTTTTGAGTCGGGGGCTCCTCCAGACTCCAACTTGCTTTCGTTGCCCTGCCTGTGCAGAATTGACGTGCCCTCTGCGGACGACAAAAGGTGCTGGCAGATGGGAGGACATGAAGGACCAGATCGGCAGCTTCTTGCAGGCCAACACATACAGAGACATGCTGGAAGTAGGAAGATGGAAAGTGGAGGATGTGGACACTGCGTTGCGTGCTCAGGCAGACAAGATAGCTGCGGAGATGTCAGGCTCAAGCCAGCCGTCGTCACCTGGACCTTGCATCCCCAAGGACACCCTCGCCTTGCCTTGTTCGGGCCTGCCGCTTTCAAGGCAGTCATTTGACTGGTACTAGGACCTGGTACCAGAAAGGGCCGTAAAAGCCCCCAGTGAGGCAAACCAAGATTCTGACCACCTCCGTAGCAGGAAACTGACGTAAGGATCAACCAGCTACGAGAAACACAAGCCACAGGAGGGTCAAGAGCCCCTGGTGGAGTTCAGGAATGTAACCATCCAGCTCCTGGCTTGCACTAGGGTTCCCTGAAAGCCAGCCCCTAGTGGCCTTCCTGCTTGACATACGCCATGCCGCTATGCGAATCTGTCCCGTAAGGTACGGCCCGATACGTGTCTTCAACAAGCTGAGCTGGACCGTCCGTCAGTCTGAAAAATGGATTGTGGTCGGCGGCAATGGCACGGGCAAGACTACTTTGGTGGATCTTATCACGGGAGAGAACGTGCAAGGCTACCAGCAAGACATTCACTTGTTCGGCCGGCAAAAGGGAAGCGGGGAGAGCGTCTGGGACATTAAGAAGCAGCTTGGTGTTATCTCGAGCGAGCTTCACATGGAATACGTGATTTTTTCAGACCCGCGCTTCGACCGCAAAGTGACTGCCTGGGACGTTGTGTGTTCCGGGCTCTTCGACAGCGTTGGCTTGTACGTCGAACCAACCTCTGTACAAACGGCAGCCGTGCTTCAATGGGTTGACAGACTTGGCACCTCGGTTGCAACCTCGATGGGCTAGCGACTTGAAAGCAATGCATATTAGTAAAACTCAATGAAAGCGTTCCATAATGATACGACTAACAATGCCAACAACAAAAGCACTGTGTCGCCCCAGCTATTCAACTGGCCGCATTAGGCCTACAGCAGCTGGTGATCGCTCCAAGCTGTGACACGGCTTTGGCTAGCTTGGCGCCTTTCTCTTCGAGCCCCCATTTCTTCGACCTCTCGCATGGGTAGCTCTTCTTTGTTGGCGTGCAGAATCAAGCATCATGCATCACTGTGAGTATGTGAGTCTGTGAGTTGGGAAGCATATTATGGAAACATGTTGCAACATTCCAGCCAAGGCAGCAGAAGTTGGTGCTGCTTTGTCGAGCGATGGTCGCCGAGCTCAAAGCAGCTAGGGGAAGCAACAGCTTTAAGAGGAAAAGGGGATGAAAGGAGGGCCTGAAATCGGCAGCTAAGTATGACTGGTCGACGCGGTCGCAAGACTCGGATTGAGAAGCTTCAGGTGAAGGAACCTCGGTTGCTGCTTCTCGATGAGCCGACGCATGGGCTGTCAGGCAGGAACCGCATGAAGTTCTTGTCGCTTCTCCAGCCGCCTGTCGAGGAACTTCAGAAAGTTTCAGAATTTTGGGTTTCGGGCGTCCGCTCCCCCTTGGGTGCCGAAGACAGCCTGACGTGTGATGCTTGCTTTCTACAGATCCAAGGCGGCTGGCGCACACTTCGGATGTGGCAATTATCCTCGTCACCCACAGAGAGGACGAGATTGAGACGTTGGGCTTTCCCAACGTCCTACGGCTTCGGAAGGAGGGCCACTCCATTTCGAGCAGCGCTGCTCTGTGACAAAACGCCGCGTGTCCGCCTCACCTACCTGGTAGTCAATGACAGCCGAGCCTTGCTGGATGCATTGTCCTCAAGCCCAAAGCCGCCTAACCGAACCGAGCCAAGGCGGCACGTTCTGCGGTGGCAGTGCGGCGCGCTCCTCACGGCTTTCCACTTGGTGTGGTGTCCGATCTTGTAGTTTCTGATCTGCCTCTGTCTTGTCCCTTTTTGGGAACGCTTGTTCATGATGGTTAACAACATTCTCCTTGCAGTCTGCTGCTTCTCTTGCTTTTTGTCTCCTGGTCTACACTGCATGCCATCTTCCACGTATTCCGTGGGTCTCCTCTGACTCTCTGAAGGATGTCTCCACGCCAAGAAGCATCATGGTACTACCTTTTGCTGTTTGTCCAGAATATGAATGTCCTTTATTTTTTTTGCACCCAAACAGGGATCTGATTTAGAGAACTGACCAAACATGCGTTCGGACGCTGGCGAGGAACACTCGGTTCAGCAAACTCTCGCACACATTCTTGTGTCTCATTGCTACCAGGTCCCCATGTTCGTAGCTGGGCCTCGTGTATGGTACGTCTTCTCTTGTGGGGTATGCGGGCAACCCAAACTAAGCCAGCCACGTACAAACCACACTTCCCTGAAATCATTTGTCGCTGTCGTTCTTGGTCCTTCCATTTCTCACTGCTGACATCGCTGACGGTGGCCGTAAACAGCTTCAGAACATGTAGATGGGGAGATCATGAGCACTGACATTTGGAGACGAAGAGAACCCGCATCCAGGTTCCCACATGAGCCGCTTTCACGCAGAGACATTGTGCGAGCTCTGCACCCTGCCAAAAAAAAGTGACGCCACTACGAACCCCAGCGCCCCACCCTGCAGCCCACCGTGCAGCCCACCGTGTACCACACCTTAGCTAGATCACTTTTTTTGGGTGCCTTTTGCGGTGCAAGAAAACACGATGCGACCCGGCCTTGGCCTCGCGTGAAATGCGACGCCGAGCCCACAGCCATGGGGGCCAAATGCAGCGAGATGGCCATGGGCACGCCCTCCCAGGTGAAGACTTCGGAGGCAAGAATGTGATCCAAGTGAGGGGGAGTCTGAGCTTTTGGCTGTGTCCAGGCTTTAGTAGACGAGGAGGAGGACGACGGAGAGGCCAGGGGGCGGCAAGGGGAACATGGCGCCAGGGGCCTCGCGGACCAGAGAGCTTGCAAGCTGCATGTCGCAGGACGAGGAGGGTGAAGAGGAGGAGGATGAAGAGGATGCAGCTTCCTCACTCTTTGTGGCAAATGACCGCCTGACAGTATTCGGATGTGCACACAGCGCCACCTGAGGAAGAGGCGTCTGTGAAGGCGGACGCAGAGAAAGCGTTGAAGGCAACATGGGCAGTTTTCAGCTTGGCTTCATGGATCCTGGATAGGGCTGGCGTGATTTGCTCGTCGCTACACGAAGGGGTCGCTAGCCCTGAAACCAAAACCCTAATCAAGCCTCCCATGTCAGGCAGCAAATCGGAAAGTCGACCCGTGCTTGTGCATACCCGCAGCCGCAGGGCCACCTCGTGCGCGGCAAGACCGCTGCCTTTGAGGAGGTGTGAGGGGGATTCAGGGTTCAGCGGTCCGCGAGAACGATGACTTGGCACTTTTGCGCTGTCGCTCCCATGGACTGGAAAGGCAATCGAGCATGCCACTTCGGTGGGCATCGACGAGGACATGATCGCACAGGCAGAGAGCAAGCTGAAGCAGCACAAGGCCAGAGCGTTGCAGAGTAGAGTAGAGGAGCGTCTAGCCCACAGATGCCGGCACAAGCCTTTGAAGCAACAGTACTGCATTCCAGGTGCTGCGGGAGCGGGAAGTGTTCATAGAGGACGGGCTGACTGTCACATAGGGACACGACCGGGAGATCACAATGCTCTCTCGGAGCCATGTGCCAAACGAACAGGGCCGAAGTCCAACTTCCGGAAGTGCTGAGCCCTTCCTCAGCAGGAGCTCCCCAAGTTCCTCAAATCCGAAGATGCAGATGACGAGACGAAGTGCCAGGAGCCGTGTTCACGCCGGGAGCTTCCCTGGGGGTCTTTTGTAGCGCTTTGTGGCCTTGTGGGGTGTTGAGCCTGTGGAGGGGACCACTTGGGCAAACTGGACAGACTGTGATCACAACATGTCGCATCATTCCTCTCAGCCAGCCTGCCATCAAGTTATCACGAAAGTTACGGTCATAGAATCGGAAGAGAACTTGCATCACAGAGAAGGCTGGGAGGCGCGACTCAAGGGACAAAGGCAGCAGCGGCAGACTGAGAGCGCCGCAGAAGTTGTGCGCCGCATTTGGTCAGATCCTGCCAGGAGCAGATTGAAGTGGGCAAGAAGCATGGGGCTCTCCTCTCGGATGCCCTTTCCCGATCTCCCCCCCCGCCCTCCTGGGTGGACCCCTTCTTCGTCCCTGAGCTCAGGTTCCTGAGACTCACTTGCAGCAGCTCCGGGAGCGCATCGAGGCTACTCGGCTCTGAAGCCCCAAAGCAAAGTACAGGGGTGGGGGGGCCCTCGGTCCTTGGTCAGTTTCGTGAGGGTCCGTGGGCTTGTAGCATCGTTTCCACGGTCGTTGCCAAGCGCTTTGTCTGCCCAGTTCATCAAGCTCGGTCGCGACTTGGAGGAGGAGGAGGTGCAGAAGGTGGGCGCGCAATGCACGCATGCCTTTGCTGCTGTAGGAAAGGATAGTATCAACCGCTTTGCTCAGGCGAACGAGATGACGACCGAGTCGACGCGCCGCTTTGTCACCTCCTGCTTTGCAGGCTCTTCCACGGTCCTTCAGTCATCGTGGGCATCTGCAAAGCAGCTCTTTGAGGCCGCGCCCTCACACACGTGGATGAGAAGGGCAAGAAAGTCAAGGCACGGCATTTTGAATGCCAAGGGCCTCCTTACGAGCTCGTTTTGAACATTGTTGAACTGTTTGCCTCCGTGATGCTGACAAACCTTCCCCCCCAGCCCCCCTCCTGTCTCAGCTGCAAGCCTCCACCATTACCACAGCCGGCCGGCACGCGCCTGCAATCGGAGCAAGCTCCCGCCACGCGATGCTGCGCTTGCAGGTCCTTTGCAAGCTTGACCCTGCCATGCGCAAGCTGCGCATCGAAGAGGCGGGCGCTTGCAAGAGAGTCCCGTGATGCCACGACGCATGCTTGGCTCGTCTTCCGGCATCTCCCAGTCCCAGCCTGTCACAGCTCAGGAGGCAGGAGGCGAGGTGTGCACCGCAGACCTGGCCAGCGTTCAGGTGGGAGATGTCCGAATCACGATAGTGGGGTTCAGGATAAGAGGGGACCACTAGTAATATATAGACCCCCAAGTATAGACCGTAGGATCCCCTTTATACTCAGGACCCCAATAAAGTACCCCTAACAGGCCCTAACATCGTAAACCCCCGCATGAACAATCACCCGACTTCGGAGCTGCGTCGTGTTTCGACCTTCCTGCGCAGGCTTGTGCAGGGACGCTGGCGGGACTGGGTGAAACGAGCCGCTGGCTTAGAGCCCTGCACAAAAGCCGCCGGTTTTCGGAAGAAAGACTGTTTCCCCACCTCCCCACCCCAAGGCCCTTTGACGTCGCTCTCCGACGAGGAGCAGGTGACGTGGGTTGAGGGTCGCGAGTCCCCCCCCAAAATCCCCAAGCCCCGTTCATATTCTTCCCTGGCACTTCATTTTTGCATCCAGACCCTAAACCCTAAACCTTAAACCCTAAACCTTAAACTTCCCAGTAACCTTCGGCCAGGACCGCTCCATTGCACTGAGAGCAGCCGGTGAAGGTCCTTGGCTCCTCCTGGAGTGCCCTGACATACCTTGACTAAGTCCCAACACTCATTTGGGGGTTTACGATGTTAGGGGTACCTCTTTCAGGTCCTTATGATAAGGGGATCTTACTTTTTTTCGTTTCATATTTTCTGACAGGGGTCCCTTATTCTCGTAAACCCCCATATTTACGCCCTCTCCAGTTTTTCTTAGACCTGCACGGAAACTCCACCGAACCAAGAGACTCAGCTCTGTACGTACCATTCTGGTCATGGTTGTTGTCATCATTCTTGTCATTGTCGTTGTAATCGTTGCCTTTATATTAACAGTCCTTAATCGGGAATATAATGGGGGGGGGGGGGGGTACTATAATCCCTAGTAAGGATTGTTAGTATAAGGGGGAACATCCCAAGTTGTTTTGTTGGTCACTCTAGAGAGACAATGCGCCTCAACCCTAAGACCAAAGGAATGAAGCCACGGGCTGCCCTAAACCCTGGAACCTCCAAAAATCAGCCCTGCCGCAAAGCCCCAACATCTTTGAAACCCCTCAAGCCCCCTAAGCCCTACACCTCAAGACCCTTAAAGCCTTAAAACCTTGAAGCTATTACACATTACACATAACACATTTCATTTTACCTGTTATATACTTTATACTATATTATAGATTATAGATTGTAGGTTGTAGATTGTAGATTATATATTACAGATTATATATTGTATATTGTATGTTATATATTATATGTTATGTATTTTATATTATATATTATATATTATATATTATATATTATATATTATACATTATACATTATATATTATATATATATTATATATATTATATATATATTATATATATTATATATATTATAACATTAAACATTATATATTATAGATTATATATAATATATAATATATAATATATATATATATAATTTATAATATATAATATATAATATATATATATAATATATAATATATAATATATATATATAATTAATAATATATAATATATAATGTATATTATATATTATATATTATATATTATATATTATATATTATATATTGTATATTGTATATTGTATATTGTATATTGTATATGGTAGATTATACATTATATATTATATATTAAATATTACACATTATTTATTGTATATTACATATTATACATTATATATTGTTGATTATATATTACATATTCCATGGAAACATAGAGATAATAGAGGGCTTCCTATGAACACGTGAAGAAAATAGAGGGTTTCTTGTGGGAATATGAAGAAATAGAGGTTTCCCTTTTAAAGGATCGAGAAAATAGAAGGTTCTCCAACCACTACCACCACTACTACGAGGGGTGTTCTTCTTGATCCTTATTAGTTTTTTTGATCCGTCAGCCATGAAGTCTTGGCAGTCCGAGGCAACGCCCTGAGCTGCACGCCGAGTTCCTCTTGGCCCTAGCGGCCACGGGGCCCAGAAGGGTTTGGGGTTTAGGTTTTAGGGTTTCGGATTTCGGGTAGGGTTTTGGGAAGGGTTGAGGGCTCATTTCATGGGGTTTTGGGACCTATAGGGTTTTCGGGGTAGGGGCTTATGGGGTGTTGAGGGCTGTGATGTTTCATGACCTTCATGGTTTTGGGGTTTAAAGGTTTCAGGGTGAGTTGGGCATTGCGATCCTCAGCCCTAAACCCTGAACCCTAAACCCTGAAGCTGAACTGCCGTCTTCGAAGGCAGACCTGGCCACACCGAAGAGGGACCATAGCCAACTACTACAGGGCGGCGCGAAAACAAACCTGAGCAGAAGAGAGTACAGAGAGCTGAAAGGACATCCACCCTAAGCCCTAAGCCCTGAAACCCCAAACCCCAAACCTTCAACCCTAAACCCCAAACCCTAAGCCCTTGCACCCTAAACCCGGAGCCTACGGGAACCGATCCCGTTGGGCGCAGCTGAGGTTCTCGGAAGTGGCAATGGCCCCGACCCCAGGGATGCCCCCGAAGATCGGAATTCGGAGAGTCTCTGTATATGTTTGCGATATATATATATGTTTATAGGTGATAGTTGTATAACTGGTAAACCATGTTATAGATGTTCATTCGATACATTCGCATTCATCTATATAGTACAACAGTACATTGTACTCATACTCGAATATACGCATAGAATAACAATGTATGTATGTGTGTGTATATGTATATGTGTATCTTGTATAGCATCAAGACATGGCGAAGGTGAGGAGAAGCTTGCGTCAACGACAAGCATGAGGTCCAGGTCTGCCCCCCTACTGGCAAGCCATGCCTTGTTTGGGTTCCAGGCTGCTGGAGAGGCAGTAGTCGCCTTCCTGAGGCCAGGCGCTTCTTCACCAACTGCTGCTGCCGGGAATGTTGGCTTCTTGCTTAGGTAGTCTGGGTTGCTGCGAAGGAACTTCGCAAGCAAACAAGCAACATCAGGAAGACATACTATTTACGATATACAACTAACATGGTCATTGAATCCAAGTTCCTTTGCGATGGGCGAACCAGTCGTTGCTGTTCGCTGCTGTCGATGACCTCCCTTGTCCCTTCCCGCGATAAGGTGAGATTAGCGTCATGCTGGAGTCGATGGAGGTGCCCCTTGTGCAGATGGATCTGCGCAAGACGTTCATGCAAAGATTCAAATCTTGTGTGTGCCCAGGAGATGGATGAGCCGACACAAGATTCCAAGGCTGTCCGGGCAGTCTCTTGGCAAGCCATGCCGGCTGTACACTGTCCCAGCACAGCCAGGAGAAGAAGGACAAGAAAGATAAGAAGGACAAGAAGGATAAGAAGGACGATGGATGTGCGAGCCATGTCTCTGCCTGAAGCTGATACGGACACTTCTTTCTTCAAAGTGCTTCCCCTGACAGGAGGAGAAGGAGAAGAAGGAAAAGAAGGACAAAGAGGAGGCGCGCCGATGCTTGGCCATTCTTTATCTTGAAAGAGCACCTTGTGCTGTGCATGTGCAGGATGGCGACAAGAAGGATAAGAAAGACAAGAAGGCCGCCGGCTCCATCGAGCAGCCGAGCAGTGCTTCCATCCTCTGCCTCGTCACTCTCTTCTGCTCTTCCTGCGCCTCACCCAGGACAAGAAAGCCAAGAAATGAGGTGGAGTAACTGTCTGCTACTCACATCGGTTTGTTTGCTGAGTAACGCTGATCACGGTTCGTTAAGAAGTCGCAAGCCGAGGTTGTCTCGTGTTCATCTTCATCTTCAGATAGCTTCAGCCTTCTGGAACTAGTGCCGCCTTTGTGGATCATACTGAATGATGGCAGGCTGCATCGTAGGCCTAAATCTCGGTTTAGGGTTTAGGGTTTGGGGTTTAGGGTTAAACAGTTAACACAGCAACAATAGTGGGCTTTGATGGACAGTTGTCTCTCTGAAGCCCCGCATCCACAAGAAGGCGTGCCCTTGTTTGCCCTCGTTCACCCAGGCTGCTTGGCAGCAGATAATGAACCCACGAGGCTGATCTGCCCGAACCGCTTTTCCAGACACCGCTGTGAAGCGACATGCATCGGTCAGCCCAAGTTTGGGCTTAAGAGGGGGGTCACATCTTCTGCCCCCATAACCCTACACCACAAAACCTAAACCCCAAACCATAAACCATATCTGACCTGGGTTTCATGACTTGAGAGCGGCGCAGGATCCCAATTTGTAGCGTGGCACAAATGTGCCCGCATCCAGACCTGACGGCGCTGCAACTGCCAAGTCCAAAATTTGGGATACTGGGAGGGGGGGGGGGTGGGTCGTCGGTAGAGAATGTGGGCCTTTCTCGAAATCTACTAGAAAAGAGATCCAGGAAGGGCCCTCAAGACCGTAAGACTCTGTGCGTGCTTCTCCTGCTTAATCTGCTTGCCTGATTGCTACGCCCATCTAGCTGCGGGTCTCTGTGCATGGGGTTCGGGCACTCAACAACCACCCCTGCAACGTCCCCGTTAGGGGATGCGGGTGCGGGTACGGTCCATCCCCTAGCTCCTCGTGAGTTTCATGAGTTTCTGAGCTGACAAAACAGCTCCCAACGCTTAAGAAGCACCCCACGCGCAGGGCTACAGCGGAGGAGGAACTGGAGGCAGCAGCGGCCGACATGCCCTGAAGGCTGGTTTCGGGTTTAGGGTTCAGGGTTCAGGGTTCAGGGTTTAGGGTTTAGGGTTTAGGGTTTAGGGTTTAGGGAGCCTTCATATCTTGACTGCTTGTACCAAACTTCGGCCAAAATGCCAGGGTCCAGGACTTCGCAGCCTCTTGGGGCTCTTGGGGAGAAGGTTTTAAGAGTTCAACACGGTAGGGTTTAGGGTTTAGGGTTTTAGGGTTTAGGGTTTAGGGCAGTCAGGCCAGGGCCTCGACGTCCAATCGCTGTTTCGCATTGGTCAGGCAAAGCCCTCGCTCACCTGCTTCAGCTGCGGCAACGGCGTGACGCCTCCTGGCTGCAACGTCCGCGTGCGTTTAGGGTTGAGCTTATAGGGTGTAGGGTTATAGGGGTTTAGGGTTATAGTTAGGGTTAGGAGTTTAGGGTTAAGGGTTTGGGGTGGCTGTTTGTGACGGTTCGGCCATTCGACCCCACCAATTCAAGGGCAGATGCTGCCTATTGCCGCCATTGTGGAGCCAAGCGAGTGACCAATCAGGCGAGGAGGGCAATGTGCGTTGTGTTGCATGTCCTCCGATAGTGTGGGTTGCTGTGGTTAGAGACAATGGGTGTTCACGATTGAATTGTGGAACTACTCGTAGTTACACAGCTGGCCTCGACACAGGCTGACAGCTCATCCCCGGCTCTCTCGCCATCGAGCCAGGTGGCTGTGTGGTGCACGGGAGATCTTCAGACATGTTAGCTTGCTTCGCTGTACGTGCTGCATGCCTTGATCTCAGCCATACAGGTCATTGGCTACGCTGCAGGACCGTCTGCCGTCGGCAGGCGGCCGCAATCTGCGCACATCTATGCGCACAGCCTGCACATGCTGCTTGTTAAGCTCAAGGCCCTAGACCTTGAATCCAAGCCCCTGAGTCCCGGGTTTGGGATTTAGAGTTCATGGCCCAACCCTGAACCTGGCCTCAGAAAGTAGACGGGCGTCACTGGGGCTCGCAGGTCCTTTCCCGTGTTGTCCAGCACCGGCTGCGACCCTACATCGCATCATCGGGCGTCGGGTCTGTGGGAACCAAGTCGCTTGGGGGTGGAGCGTCTAGAGGGATTCGGGCTCAGGAAGGCTACCAGGGCTTAGGACCCAAAGATGGCTCCACCCTAAACTTTTTTAAACCCGAAGCTCTAAACTTTTATAAGCCCTGAACACTAAACCCTCAACTAAGGCAGGGGCTCTGAGGGATCTTTAAGACAAGGCCGTGATTTGTGTTGCGAGGTCCGCAGCCTCGAGATGGAGAAGCCATGGGCGAGAAATGGCACGCCGCCCGGTGTGTCCCGGAAGATGCAGTTGTATACTTATACTATTTCATATATCAATGTGCTTCCAGTGATATATTCAAAATGTTTAGGGTTTTGCATGAATACGTATACACTCATCATGGGAAGCCGTTTGCGTATCCTGTTCTCTGTGGTCCAGGTCCACAGATTTCGGCCGAATCGTTGGATCACCAAAGGCCGGACAAAGCAAACATGAGACCACTTTGCAGTGCTTCAATGGGAGACCAAACCCGAAACCCTACACCCTAAAACCCTAAAACCCTAAACCCTAAACCCTGACCTAGACCCTAAAACCCTAAACCCGAAGCCTCAAACTCGGGCCGAGGGAAATCCTCGAGTGGCCTCATTCGTGCGACTCAACGGCTTCCTCCTGAGGTGCAGCTTTAGATGCTTGATGAAAAGGTTTGGCAGCTTTAGGAGTTTCTAAGGGTTTAGGGTTTAGGGTTTCTTTCGACGTAGACCCAAGAGACCACGTCTTTTTGCCGGCCTGATTGGGTCTGATGCCAGAGCTGAGAGGACTCACATTACAAGCCTGCTCGCTGCGCTGGCAGAAGATGGGTGGCTTGAGGCTGGGACAGCGCAGTAGAGTGTCACTGGCGTAGCGCCTCCATGTCTCTTTCATGGGTCAAAAGCGGGGGTCCCGAATAGTGAAAGGGCTTGTATTCCTTGTCCCCCCCTTCCCTTCTTCAGTGATGTTTTCAATTCAACGGCCCACCCGCCCTTCCCGCCTTGAAGCTCTAAAGGCTGGCAATAATTTGAAAGCCCCCCCTCTCCCCCGCCCCACCCTGCCCCTTTTTAGACCCCCCCCCGGCCCTGGCCCCCGTTAGGCGCAGGCGTTACTCAACACAGGTAAGAGCGTTCCAGCAGCAAGTGCTAAAAGTAAGAAGAGCGCGACGCAGCACAGCTCTCGCACGATCGCGAGCACACACGCAAGTGGTCAAAAGCTAGAAAAGCAAGCAGCAGGAACAAAAAGATAGGCTGAGATCCTCTAGACCGATTCTCAGGTTCAGAGTGCCGTTTCTGGGGGATGTTCTAGACGATGAATTTCTTGGAGGGGGTCTCTTACTTGTTGCAGAGGCTTTAGCCACAAACCCTACCCCAAAGAACGGCCCATATTTCGGTCATAAAACCCACACAAACCCCAAGCCCTAGACCCTAAACCCTCAAAGCCCCAAAACCCTAAAACCCACCCTGAAACCCTAAACCCCTAAAGCCCTAAACCCAAACCCTCGACCCTAAACCCTAAACCCTAAGCCCAAGAAAGGCCTGGGAGAAGGAGCGGCTCTGTAGCTCGGTTCGGGACGCCGAGTCACGCTGGGCACAGAGTTTCCTCCAGGCGCCCTTTCAAGGGGCTTGGTGGCTTCCAAGGGGCTTAAAGGCAGGGATTTTGCGGGGATTTTGGGGGTTTGTTGGGGGGGTCTTGGGGGTTGTGAACGAAACGATCACGGAAAGATGAGACCAAACGGTTTAAACGCACAAAATGTCTCACGTAGTGGTCACGAAGAGATGATTTGTGTGCAGAGCATTGGCTTGAACGGTCTGACGAAAGTGTCTCTGAGCCAAATTGTCATGAGAAACGAAATTGTCATGAGAAGATTGAGAAGATGGTTTGTGTGAAGAACAATGGTTGGATCAGTTAAACCAGTGTCTCACCCAACGAAACTGTCACGAAAAGACGGTTGGACAAAAAGTGTCGCAGGCAACGAAACTGTCACGCAAAAAAGGTTTGTGTGAAGAGCAGAGGCTTGAACAGTTTAACGAAAAATGTCCCATGCAACGAAACTGTCACGAAAAGATGGTTTGTGTGCAGAGCGTCAGCTTGAACAGCTTGACAAAAAGTGTATCATGTCACGAAACTGTCACGAGAAGATGGTTTGCGTGCAGATCGTTGGCTTTTGTTGTCTTGAGCTGTTCAGGGGTAGTTGTGGGCGCACCGTGTTGGAACCAAGCCCTTCTTCGTAGGTCCTCCGGTTCCTCTGGTTTGCAGTGTTTGCAGAGTTGCATAGACGCGGTGTCGACCGACCGTGTTGAGATCTACATGCGCTTCGTTGAGACTGACGATGTTGCCACCTTCGTTGCAGCTCTGAAAGCTCAGATTTCCTGAACTTGTCAATGCATTACCTTTTCAGAAACTGCCGTGAAAGCGGCGTACTTGGTAAAGTCCACAGCCAGCCAGGCTATGTACCACATACCGAATGCGCGGAGATAAGAGGCACAACTTGAGCTATGACCTTCGGAGACCTTGTGGTTAGCTTCCCCGACATCTTCTAGCTTCAGCACAAAGGGAGACATGCAACATGTGCCTTTTTTGGACGATGAGCATCTGCCCGTATACCGAGCATGTGCTCATCCCGCATAATTTGCGACAACGAGCTCTTACCAGGAACTCCAGCCCACGCATTTGGGTTGCTGTGCACGAAACGGCAGTGTGCACCCGCTGCCAACAAGGGTCCTTACCGCTCTGTATAGACACTGCCAAGGACCGATTGTCAGATGAATGAAGCATGCCTCCGCTTCGGGATAACACTGCGCAGAACGAATTCTACGAGCTGATTCTAAGCCGGTTATGGACGTCTCCTATCCTATAACTTCTAAGCTGGGCTTCATTGTCGTCGTCACAAGAATAGCATCATAGGCCCATGTTGCCGCAATGGCGCTTCATGATATCCAACGAATACCGCTGACATGTTGCGTTTCGCACCTGGTCATGGCTGCGCAGAAAATGGATTTTGCCATTGGATATGCGTGTGGCGATATTCTGCTTTCATTCATCTACCCTACACCCTACACCCTAAACCCTAAACCCTCAACCCTAAACCCTCAACCCTGAACTGCTTTCATTCGTCTACCCTACACCCTATCACCCTGAACCCTAAACCCAAAACCCTAGCATCTGCCTTTTGAAGGAGGAGGTCGGCCCTCGGCTCAAAACAGGCGAAAGCCTCAAGCCCTTCCACGATCTATCCGGTACCCGACTGGCCAGTTGCTCGCCTGCGATTGTGACTTGAGGGGCTGCGCTGCGCTGTACAGCCTTTGAGAAACCTCACGTCCCAAACCCAAAGCCCTAGAAAGCCTAAGCACCCAATCACTAGAAAGCCTAAACCCTGGAGCCCCAAGCCCAAAACCCAAATGTAACCATGCTCCCAAGCAGCCCACCGAGATGACACGCTCTTGCAGATCAGCCGGCAGCGGCGTCGTGCTGCCCTGAGATTGAGATGGGAAGCAGGGTTCTGAAGCCCTTAGCTGCTCGTCCCCAGAGCCATCCCTGCAACTTGCCCATCAATTGTCCTGTCGCAGTTTGGATGTTTTACGGGTATTAGGGTTGCAAGTCATCACCATGCAGGCCATCGCTGATCCTCTTGGCCTGCGCTACGTGCTGCTGCTTTTGCCGCTGCTGTTTACGAGGTGGGCCGGATGCTGGAGCGTCGAGCTGGTGGGGTGGTGATGTTCCGAATAAGGGGCCCCCAATATTGATTATTGCTGGATAGTTTTTGCTACCGACAGAGCCCACGGAAAGCCTTTTCATGGTGTGAGAAGAGCGATTGTGAGCAAACCTGTGAGGTCGCTGGCGGGCTTCGCAGCGTCAAAGAACTCTGCCAAGCTGGCCGCAGCCGGTGGCAGGGGCCTCTGTTGACCGCAAGAGGGCTTCCTGCACAGCCTGGAGTGAAATGGCCCAGTAGTATGGGGGTTGGGCCCTTTTCAAAGGGATTCCACTATATTTAAGGGGTTAAAGGGGTACCCCTGTTATAGGAAACCCCCCTATTGAGATGCAGCCACGTCTGCCACATGTCGATGGACCGCAGAGAGGGAGGGCTTCGAGACATTTGGGCCAGGCACGTTTGGCCCACCAGGTCTTGCAGAGCCAACAGAGGCCAGGGTTTAGGGTTTAGGGTTTAGGGTTTAGGGGGCTGTTTCCCTACTTTTAGTTCCCCTCGGAACAAGTATGGGCAGGTGGATCTGCTGGATGACTCCGACCCTCCGAAGGACATGCCCTCCATCCTGCCAAGAGTGCAGGCCTGGGAGATCCAAACCAACGAGGTTTAGGGCTTATAGGGTTTCTAGGGTTTCTAGGGTTTATGGGGTTTATAGGGTTTATAGGGTTTATACCTCCGCGAAGCCTTAGAAAGACTGCCCGACACCCTGATGAGTCCTGAAACCCCTAACCACCTTAAACCTGCGAGCCTGGACCAAAAAGCCTGATGATTCCGTAACGCCTACCAGCTCTCGAAGCCCCCAAGACCTAAACCCTAAACCCTTAACCCTAAACCCTAAACCCTTTCCCCTTAACCCTTATAAACCCGAAACCCTAAACCCTAAAGCTTCCGAGGCTCCGGAACCCGAGCGAGAACCGGAGGCCCGGAGATGGAGTGGAGCGCCAGCGTCCAGCTTCGATCCCTGTTGGGGTGGTTCTTCTGTTAGGGCTTTTGAGGGTTCTGAGGGGTTTTGAGGGTTCGGGGAGTTTTGAGGGCTTTGGGAGTTCTGCGGGTTTTGGGGGTTTTGGGAGGTTCTGTGGGGAGTTTTGGGTTTTGGAGGTTCTGGGGTTTTGGGGGCTTTTGGGGGCTTTTGGGGGCTTTTGGGGGCCTTGGGTGCTTTGGGGCTTTTGGGGGTTTCGGGGCTTTGGGGGTCTTTGAGGGTGTGGGGTTTAGGGTTAAGACCGGGTTAAGAGCTGAAGCAGGCTCCCAGTTCATGTACCCTCAATGGTAGTTTGCGCCGCAATGCGCAGCAGCTCGTATGGGACCCAGAGAGGGAACCCTGAGACTACTGAGCATCGCAGGTAGGATATGTGAAAACAGGCTGTGTGCGGAGGAGGGACCCGAGCTCCTGTAGTCCTGCTATGTGCCTGCTTTGTACGCAGGAATCCTGGGATCCCATCCCCTCTGTGAATTTCGATCAGGAGGCCGGGCTGTTCTTGTCCGTCCTGACGGGCGAGAGAGCCTGGATGGTGCTCTCCTTCGGGGTGGGCTACGGCCTGGTGCAGTGCGCCCTCAAAAGGCGCCCTTGGAACTCAGGGTGCGGCGAGTGCGCAGGTACTTCCTCTCCAAGGGTGACACGGCAGAGTGCGTGGCCGCCAAGAAGGAGTGAGCATGCACAAGGACATGCAAGGACGATGCATTTCTCCAGCTGCAGAGACAGCGCCACACTTGGGCTACGTTTGGATTCCGCGCACGCTGGCCCCGCACAGTTTCGCGACATGTAGCGGCGAACATGTTGACCTCCGAGAAGCCGGGCTGGAGTGCGCATACAGATTTGTCTCTCTCCGAGCTTTGTAAACAGAAAGCAAGGCCGGTCTCGTTTCGCACGCCACAAGTAGCTGCTCTTCCCTGTGTTGTGCAGCGGTCTGCCTTTGCAGACTGCTGCAGAAACCCATCGGGGAATGCCCTCACTGGCCAGAGGCCTCGTGAAACGCGGGTTGTTCTAAATTAGGGTCCCCCTTTCGAATACATTATTCAGTACAATCGGGCCCTAATACAGAGCAAGCCCTTCGTGTTACCATGTCGGATGCTTGTCCGACTGCGGTGGGTTCTCCCGACACTGCCGCAGCTGAGGCGGAGTGCGGGTGATCGGCCGCAGTTCGATGCGAAAGGACAGACACTACCATCCTAACTGCCGGTATATAATCCGATACTTTTTGGTTGTCGGCTTTCTTCATTTGTTCTGTGCTTTCCGGGCTAATCCGCCTCATTCAGCTGCTGTCAGGCTCCAGCTCACAAAGGCGACACCACAGCGGATGCACAGGTCTCACATGTTTTCCCAAACTTGTCCCCTAGCCTGAACTTGCCCCCCCCCCCCCCCCCCCCCCCCCCCCCCCCCCCAAAAAAAAAAAAAAACACACACACACACACAAGAAAAAAAAACACCAGAAACCTTGGCTACTGCTGTGTGCAGGTTTATGCTGAAAAAAACCTCTCCTGAACCAGGAGCGGCCAAGCCCAGGGCATAAGAGGCACCCTCTCAGGAGCGGTTCCCGTATTTTAAGATCCCCCCCCCTCCGCAAAGCGAGCGAAGCTAAGTGCCATGGCGATCGAAAGCAAGGCCGAGCAAACCTCGCCCGCAAACTTGCAGGAAAACCTCAATCCCTTAAACCCTTTGAGCGGGCAAACCCTTAAGCCTAAACCCTTAAGCCTCAACCCTAAACCCTAAGCCTGAAGCCCTAAACCCTAAAGCCGTCTGCTCTCCAGGCAGAAGTGAAGGTTGACAGCCTGTCGAACGACGAGGCGGCTTGGACGGAACAGGAAATGATAGCCGACCGCAGGTCTTTTCGCAAGCATCATCCCAGGTCCCTTTCAGGGCCTTGGGGGGTCTAAGGTTTAGGGTTTCGGGGGCTTTGGGCCTGTAACCCCGCAACTCAATCCTACAGAAGCCCTGACCCTCTAGAAGCCCTCAAACCCAAGTGCCCTTTCTCAGAGTTCCCAATCCCCCAAAAGCTTGACCAGTACCCCTAAACCCTGAACCCCACACCCTAAACCCTAAACCCTAAACCCTAAACCCTAAACCCTAAACCCTAAACCCTAAACCCTAAAACCCTAAACCCTAAAACCCTAACCCTCAACCCTCAACCCTCAAACCTCAACCCTCAACCCTCAACCCTCAACCCTCAACCCTCAACCCTCAACCCTCAACCCTCAACCCTAACCCTAAACCCTAAACCCTAAACCCTAAACCCTAAACCCTAAACCCTAAACCCGAACCAGTGGGCAGCTGCGGAAGGCCACAGAGCTTCTTCGGGCCTTCGGCGCCGAGCCTGTGAGTGAGCGCGGGCCCTTAGGCCCTGGGGCCGTGACAAGGGGGGCTTTTGGGGTTTCAGCTTTTTTTTGTTTTTCTTTTGGGTTTGAGGGGGCTTTTGGGGTTTCAGTTTTTTTTAATTATTTGGGGGGGGGGGGGGGTTTGGGGGCTTTGGGGCTTTCAGGGTTTCAGTTTTTTTTTTTTTTTAAATGTTTTAGGGGGCTTTGGGGTTTTCAGGGTTTCAGTCTTTTACGTTGTTTTTTTGGGTTGTCCAGGGCTTGGGAGGTTCAGGGTCTTAGGGGTTTAAGTCTTGTTTTTTCAGTGTTCGAGGGTCAGGTTCACGCGGCCAGAGGAGGCTGTACACTCAAGCTCTCAAGATACAGTCCATAAAGTTCGGGCATCTAAGCCCTGAACCTTAGGGTTTAGGGTTTAGGGCTTACAGTAGGGCTTAGGGCATAGGGTTAGGTATCCCTGAACTTTTTGCCCCCGATCCCAACGCCCTTGCATTTGAGGCCCCAGAAAAGACCCCTGTGCCCCGTCGCCCAGGCCTACGCGACTTTTTGGGGGTTACGCCTCCTCGAACTTCAAGGTGGGGCGGCAGCTTTCTCATGCATTCTCTCTTTCAGTTTAGAAGGTTGGAAGTTCCAGCTAAATGCTAGAGAGCATCGATGCCCAAGGTGCTAGGGCTTTGAGGGATACGTCTTGGCGCAGCTCTTTCGGTGGTCCACCACGTCAACACCTCCAGACGTCTGCATGCCTGGCAGGTTCTTGCAAAGTTGGATGGAGGCCTCGAGCAAATTGTGCGCAACCGGCCGCGGGCATCTCGACATTCTTGTAGGTGAGAGCCGGACATACTTGCTCAAAGTCAATTACTACGGCTTGAACATTGAGGATCGGCCAGTGGCGGAACCATCTTGCTTGAAACATAGAAGATCCTGCACATGCTGTTTTGCTTCAAGCAGGACATAGAGCACCAGCTCTACGTCATGAACCATCTGAGGACTGACCACGGGCAAGTTGAGACAAGGCTGTTGGATTTAGCTGACAGCCCGCCAGGACCACGTCCTTCCCAACGAACTACCCTTATCAGGCCAAATCCGGCGGCTTCTACGTGAGCCAGGGGGGTCGGCGGGGGCCCCATTGTGTCCTTGTCATGGCTCGGAGAGGGGATGCGTAGGTTGCTGGCAGCCTAGCAGGACAGCAATACTCCTGGACTTCATCACTGGCAAGCGCGGAGACGAAGTGCTAGCCGCAGATGAGGCCCTCCGCCCCAGAGCCACTTTTCTAACCTGCACCGGGCATGCGCTTGCAAGTTGCAAGACAGGGAAAGACGGACAAGCTTCTCAGCGAGCTGGCCATGGCTCTTGCGCAGCTTCATCAGGCCCGTGCCCAGACACGCCCTGCACTTGCACAAGGCACACATGGGTATTTCCCAAATTAGAGGTACCCCTTTTATACCCCAAATAGAATAGAAGCCCCTTCAAGGAACCCCCAAAACGCATAACCCTAGTTTCGGAATCCACCACATGTTCTACAAATTGGCTCCGTTTGCTGCATTGTCCGTATTATTGGCCAATCAGAGAGCTTCATTCGTCTCAGTTTGTCAACATATGAAAATTTTCTGCTTCACTTTGCATTGCATATCACCTCATTTCCAATGGAACCCGCATGTCCAGGTCTCCTGGCCGAGTGATAGGAAGTTGCGTGGGAAGCTTACGGAAAGCCCTCCCCACCGTGTTGAGAGTCCATTCCTCAAGCCCTCAAGCACTTCTTTGTTTTGGCTGCGCTTCGCTCTTCAGGCGACATCCGTTCTGGATACCCGCGTCCTGGCTCGCAACATCGGGTCTGCCTCACGTAGCCTTCTGCTTCGGAGAGAAGCTCAGGCTGTGCAATACTGGCGACCTCCTTCGTGGTGAGGACAACATGAGTATGTCAGTGGTGTACACAGGGATTCAGATGCAGCGCTTGCCCAAGAATGCGATGCCCGAGTCACGAGTTTACTCGGCAGCCTCTTTAGCTGTAGCCTGGAGTTCGATCCGTTCTTTCCCCAGCTGACGATCAGAGCATAGCATCATCAGCCCACTCCAGTATGAGCATTCAACGTACACAGGTCAGCTTGTTTCAGTAGAGACTGTATGCGATCTCCCCTGCTGGCAGCTGACATCGCTGCTTTGTGCAGGGCGAGGGCCTTGAGAGGTGCACCCGTGCCACTTCTGCCCCGCACGATGGCCAGCGCAGCCATCCCCACCTGGGAGAAGGTGTACATCAACGGCCAGCACTCCTGGCGCCATTCTGATCCCATGCTTCTCAGACATCATGCCGTGCGGGTCGAAGTGCGAGCTGCTTCGCGTTGCTGCTTCGCGTTGCGGACGGATGATGTCGGATGAGCGGCTCTAGGTATCTTTGCTCCTCCACGGTTTTCTGGAGCGATCCTGCCTTGTGCCAGATGGAGTCGCCCGTCTTCGGCTAACCTTTTTGACGTGATCGACTCCAACACGGGTAAGGCCACTGAATTGGAACAAACAAGTAACGCTTTAGCTACCAGCACAGGGATTTTCCTGACAGCTGTTCAGTTGGTCAATTTCTGGAAGTTAGGTTGCATCTGCATTCCTGTACTCAAAGCCATTCCAGCTCTGCGCGCAAGGTTTGCGCACGTGTTCCTGCTGCCGGCGAGCATCTCAGCATCCGCAATAGCCTTCCACAGCTGAGCCTTGCACATTCAGCTCTGAACCCTAAACCCTAAACTCCAAACCCAACAAAGGGGACTCAAAACCCTGAACCCCAATTTCCCTCCTAAGCCCTCCTTTGGCCCTAAACCCTGAACTCTACTAAGCGCTGAACTCCAGCTCCGTCGAGCGCAGAGGCGTGGCGGATGTGGACAAGGCAGTGGCGGCGGCGCGCGAGGCATTTGTGTCCTGGGCCTGGGCCCTGGAGAATCCTTGAGTTCAGGGTTCAGGGTTTAGGGTTGGGGGGGGGGGGGAGTAGGTTGGGGGGTTTAGGGGGTTAAATTGCCTGAAATCGCCCAAACAGAACCCGACTGGCCACGTGGATGCCAATCTTTCGTCTGGGAACTGGGAGACTTTCCGGAGGTTTCCGTAGGCATTCGAAGCACACTGATTTAGAGCTGCCCACCTTGCTGGGCACGTGCACGTGGCTCCATGTGGGAGTTTCCGAAGTTAAGGGTACCTTATTGGCAATTATTGGGGTCCTTGTTAAAAAGGAATCCTACCATTTGGGGTCTGTTTTTGGGGTCCCCTCTTTTCGTCAACCCCCATTTCTACTTCGTAGAGAGTCAAAGCAAGGCCGAGAAGTCCCTGGACGAACGCAAGGCCGGCAACATGCGCGGTGCGCGTCGCGCGCGTCGTAAAGGCAGCACAAGTTGAGATAAGCCATGGACATGACTCTTGCTGTGCCACGATTCCCTTAGCTGCAAATAGCAGGAGCAGGTCAGGGTTCCGCCACCCTCTTGTGAGGCAGTCTTGCAGAAAGTCCTGGAGACATGGCAGGGCAAGAAGGCGCCTACCAATCCCGAGCTCCAAAGCCTCGCATCCCCCAAATCACTGCAGACCCGAAAGGCATTTTATGGTCTTAGGTCAAGGTCTTCTCTCGGACGTCCGGAGATGGATGAATTTCGACCGTGTAGCTTAGACACGCGGCACCGTCTCAGAAGGATCGACTAGGGGCAACAACACAGTTCCATATATGGTTTTATGATACTACCATATCATATTGCTATTGTGATATCATTGTAAGATTTTATTATTCTGAATGTTTTTGTTGTAAACATCAAACATATGGGAATCAAAATGTTCGAAGACTTATATGTATGTTAAATATATTGGAATATACTAAACACTAAACATAGCTGTTGTAATTTATTGATACCTTCATATACTAGCATATTGATGCAGTACTGTATTCTGATATTTTGGTATTGTGTATTATATGAATACACTACTATCATACTATACTATTGCATGTTTACCCGCAGGTTTACCTTGTATTTGTTCCCGTGGTATATTAGTATATTCTCGTACGATGAATTTATTGCACTATTACATGACATGATTACATCATTACATTGATACATTACCCCATTTTTATTACCTCATATTCTTGTTTTTTGTTTCATTGTCATTCTTGTTATTGTGTTTTAATACCATGATACGAGGTTACTATTTATCATTATATATGATGGTGTTGTTATATCATTATATTGTTAAATGCGTATATGGTTCCATTTGTACATTCTTGTATTAGTTCATTATGATGTTATTGCTTTTTTGTATTTTCATATTTTCTATAATCTCATGTTATGCTACTATATCGTTTGAGACACTATTCTATTCCTGCCTTATTCTTCTATTGCATTATTGCATCATAACTTCCTCTTTTTTTATCACTATATCGTTGAATCACTTTAACAGTATATCTTTACACATCATGGTGATGGGGAGATTCCCAGTAAACCCCAAACCCTAAACCCTAAACCCTAAACCCTAAACCCTAAACCCTAAACCCTAAACCCTAAACCCTAAACCCTAAACCCTAAACCCTAAACCCTAAACCCTCACCCCTAACCCCTAACCCCTAACCCCTAACCCCTAAACCCTAAACCCTAAACCCTAAACCCTAAACCCTAAACCCTAAACCCTAAACCCTAAACCCTAAACCCTAAACCCTAAACCCTAAACCCTAAACCCTAGCCTCAAACAGCTCCCAAGCGAGGCGCAAGCTGCTGAGTGGCTCTGCAAGGAGCTTGGCTGCACGGCGACCTTTGCGAAGACGGTGCAGGTGCGTGGAACATCAACTTTTTTGGGTTCTTTTTTTTCGGGTTTTTATTGTAGGTTTTTTTGGGTTTTTAGGTTTTTTTTTTGGGGGGGGGGGGGTGGGTTTTCGTTTCCTTTTTTTTTTTTTTTGGGGGGGGGGGGGGGTCTTGGGGATTTTGGTTTTTCAGGGTTTTTGTGGTTTTGGGTTTTTTGGGGCTTTAGGGGTTTTAGGGTTTTAGGGGTTGTAGGGGTTTTAGGGGTTTTAGCTTAGGGTCAGGGTCCTTTGCGTAGTAGGGTTCGCCTCAGGGTCTGACATTCAAGCTTTGTGTGGGAGTTCGAGCAAGTTCCAATAAGGGGTTATTGTGGGGTTGAGGTTTAAGGGTTGAGGGTTGAGGGCCCCTGAACCCGAAAAAAGAGCAGGTCAACATGGTGGACTTCCATCTCGGAACCAGCCCCGCCCTTTCTTCTCTGGGAAGCATGGGCATCCCTGTGAGCCCCAGATCAAGGGACGAAGACCCGTGCCCCTAAGATTGTGCCTCTAAAGGTTCCCCTTAGTCTACTCCTAACATGGCCCTTATATTCCACGAGGGATCTTTAGAAAGGGTCCCCAAAATCCCTTAAGGGCACAACCTTAAGGGTCCAAGGTGTAACCCCTAGACCCGAGGTCTGAAGCTCGTTGACATGGTCAAATTTGAGGAGAAGATGGCATTCGGATCGCTGGCTTGGCTCGTAGATTTGTCTTGGTGTAGGGACTGCGGGAATGAGGTACCCCGTATAGTTAAAGGGTATATATATATATATATGTATATAAGGGAGCATAAGGTGCCTAATTCCCTCCTTCCCCACCAAGAGCCAGAGTTTTCTTTTTTTGTTCCCCTTGAAGTTCTCTTGATGTTCTGCTGAGGTGGTGCGAGAGCCTATCGGTGTCGTTGGCTGCCCCCGGGCGGCATCTCGGTGCTGTAGTCCACCTCAACCCCAAACCTTGGGATGTTCCCGCTTATGCTAACAGTCCGTAATAGGTATTATAGTACCCCTATCATGACCCCTACAAAGGAAAGATAGAAATAAGGCGGAACATCCCAACCCAAACCTCCCGAATCCCCCCCCAACAGCGAGGCATCACGCCGTGGAACTACCCGCTGAATCAGATTGCTTGCTGCTGAGCGTACCTTTGCACGCGGGCGCGGCACGGTCATCGCTGCTCGCCCAGTCCAGGCGGCCAAAGTCTTCCCTGCCATGCTCGTGGGTTGCACCATCGTTCTGAAGCCCAGTGAGGCGCTGCTCTGAGAGATTTTTGTTAGAGAGGTCATGTGAGGAGTTGGATGTGAGTCGGATGCCATGTTCGCTGCTTTTGCTATGACAGGTCACCCCTGTTTGTGCATACCTTCTTGCGGAGGCTGTGCATGAGGCCATAAGCGGCTGAGCAAAGATGAGAGAGCGGCCCCTTTGCATCAGTCGTGTGAGGCCGGAGTACCTCCTGGAGTTTTCAACATGTTGATGGGTGACGGACCAAACTGTGGAGAGGCATCTCGTTCGCTGCTTATATGGATTTTGCGCTTGGCCGATGCGTGGTGTAAGAGTAGGAGATGCCTCCGAAGTCCGAAACCCTCGGAGTGTTCTCGCAGGCCGTTGCAGCCCATCCTGGTGTTGACATGGCACCACGCCAAGTCTTAAGATTCGCGCCATGGACACATGCTGGGATTCAAGTCCCAGGTTAGCTTCACGGGCTCCACGCGAGCAGGCGCCTGCAAAGCCCTTGACAGCTGGTAGCTGGTTGGAAACATGCGAGCCCTGAATCTTGACCCTAAAACTAGACCCCAAGCGCCAATAGCCCGTGGAGCCTGACTGATGTTGCCAGGTCGCCGAATCTCCGAGGTGGGTGCGCAGACGTTGAAAGTGGCCCGGTTCCTAGAACTTTATGCGTGCGCGCTGAGAGCTGTTTGGTTCAGAGATGTTCAAAGTCAGCGAGGTCCGCACAGAGCTTGGTGGCAAGAGTGCTGCGCTGCTGCTGGAGGCGATCTCTTTTGGGGGGGCCTTTTGAAGGGTCCAGTAAGGGGGAAAAGTCCGAGCACCCTTAGGACGCGGACCTGCCCAAGCTGGTCCCTAAGTTCATGCAGACGTTGATGTGGCCGGCTGAGAATGATGAACCGAAGCATCTCGCATCTCACTGCCCTGCATTGCCAGTATGCTGCCACCGCTGTGGGATGCGGAGTTGTTCTCCCAGGAACAACAGTGGCCAATCCTGCAATGCACTGAGCCGGATGCTGGTTCCGAAAACTCGTCTGGGCCCTTTCAGAACTGAGAGATCTTGCTTCTAAATCAACGTTGGCTAAGCTGGGAGTCCGTATTGCAGATGTGCAGCACTGTTGTCAGCTGAAGGCTATGATGAGGCTGTTGAGCTTGCAAAGAAGGCATGCCTTCCCCTGCCAGGGAGTTAGCGTGTCGCAGCCAGTTCCCGCCGAGAATGCAGAAGAGTCTTTCCACGCTGCAGGTTGCTGAGAAGACCGTTGTCAGCTTTGCGCAAGATGAGAAGGCCTCCAACGGCAGTGTCAGGTACTGTAGGCCATCATCCTTCCTCCCCGTTGCATCCGTTTCAGCATCCTTGCGCCCGAGCTTGGCACTGCAGCCGTGCCCAAGGCCTCGATAGGCCCGCTTTCCTCCCAAGCGTGCACCACTCGGCAGAGTCGTCCCCAAGCTGCCAGAGAGGAGGGTTGACTTCTGTAAGCTGAGGCAATGGGAGAAGGTGCAGGGCTACATCCAAACCGGAATCAAGGCACAAATGGGTTGTGCTATGTTGAACAATGTTGTGCTCGAAATGGCTGTAGTGAGTAGGAATTCTCCTGGCAAGCTGAAGGAGGGTGCCCGGTTGGTCACCGGGGGATCTGGCAAGCCAGATGGCCTGTCGGACGGCTTTTTTGCGCGAACCCTACGCTCACCAAGGGGAAATTTGAGTTGCACACTCAGACCCTAACTGTTAATTCACACCCAGACCCTAACCGTTATATAACCCGAAGCCCTTAGCCACAGCAGTGGGATACCAATCAACGCTACCTGAGTTGACTTCAAACTCGTCGCGTTTCGCTGTGTTGACGAGGTCAAGCCTACAGTCTTTGCAGACGTGCCTGCCCTGGCATGCCTGGCACACACACAGACCATCTTAGTGCTATGAGGGCTCACACGTTTACAAGGGCTTAACGGTGAATATTGCTGTAGCCCTCGGTTGCATGCCGAGGTTGACAACAAAATGACAATCGCGCAAGAGGAGATCTTTGGCCCCGTTCTGTCCATCATCCCCTATACGACTGAGGAGGACATGTGGGCGATTCCACGGGTACCCTTTTGGGGGGTTTCTTTAAGGGGGTTCTATTCTATTTGGGGTTTTAACAGGGTACCCCTATTTTGGGAATTGCGCATTTGGATGCCAGCATGGCCCCAATTGACCAATGGGGTGTTAGGGCTTGGGTCTGGGGGTGCTAGGGCCGCAAGCCTTTAACCCCTCCCCCCCAAAACCCCAAACCCTAAACCCCAAATCCTGGAAATCCGCAAGCCCTAAACCCATAAACCCTAAACCCCAAACCCTAAACCCCAAACCCCTCCAAAAGAAAGCCGAAGCCTGGGAAGCTCTACTCGTAAGGGGGTTGCAGCCTCGCCGTCAGGAGGCCGTCCGCATCGCCAATGACACGGCCGCCCCCTGAGATTGGAACTGGAGGATCCAGGTTAAAAATTCTAAGCCCTACTAAGCCCTAATAAACCCTAATAAACCCCAAGAAACCCTAATAAGCCCTTATAAGCCCTCATAAACCCTAATAAGCCCTAAGAAACCCCAAGCCTAAGCCCTGAACCTGGGATGCCCAATCCCTAAACAGGCATCCCTCAGTCCTAAATTTCGGGTTTGGGGTGTTGTTTGTTTTGAAGGGGAAACCCTAAACCCTAAATCCTAAACCCTAAACCCTACACCCTCCACCGGGAGAAAGAAAGGTCTACGGCTTGAACAACGCCGTGGGCAGCGCCTCTCCGGAGAAGGCTGTAGCAGTGGCGGCCGCCTCAGGGAAGGAGAGCATGTAGAGTTTAGGGTTTAGGGTTTAGGGCTTCGAGTCTAAGTCAGGACTCAAGATTCCGTCAGGATGTAGGTCTTTCGGGCGGTTTATTGGTGCATTTCAGTTTTTTCGGGCTCGTCGTATTGTAGCAGGCTTCGGAGTTTATGGGGGCTTGTAGGGCTTGAGGGCTTAGGGTTTATTGGGCTTGCAGGGCGTTTGGCGTGTTTTATCTATTGCTTTTCAAGCAAAAGAACAAGAAGTTCATCCTGTCGTTGGTTGAGTAGTTTGTTTGGCTTCTAGAGCTTTCGGCTTTATCACATTTAGGGTTGGATGTGCATGGGTTTGCAGGGCTTTGAGCCGGGGAAGGTGAGATCTCAACACTTTTGGTGGCTAGACTGGTTTGCTGTTTAAACGAAAGTAAGGTGCCACAATGATGATACCTTAGTAAGTAGCATGGCTTCATTCTTGTCATTGAGTTAGGCTGAAGGAATAGGCAGATTAGTATCGCTCCCTCACTCCCGTCCTAACAAGCAGCCTATTCGTATATACATAATTATATATATACACATATATTATAAACATACACATGCTCTGTATATAGTTATATATGTTTTCAATTCATATGTGTGTTCTATGATGTAGGTAGGTCTAGGGGCTAGCTGCTCCCGAGGCCCGGAAGCTTCGCTCAGGCATGGCTTGGGCCCCAGAGCGAACCGCAGAGTAGGAGGGATGTAAGGAGGTTTAGGGTTTCGGGTTTACGGTTTCGGGTTTAGGGTTTAGAGCTTAGGGTTTAGAGTTTAGGGTTTAGGGTTTAGGGGAACCCCTCAGCCCTCTAAGCCCTAAATCCACGTGCCAGCATGGCTCCAGAAGGTTATGATCAACGACACGTCCGGCCCTGGCCTTGGACCTGCCATGAAAACCCTCCGGGAGGGGGGGTTTCTTGATTTGGCAAGTGCCCCAAAAACACACACATTGTCAAAGCACGAATCCTGCCATGATCTCGCCCAGTCATGCCGGATGCGCCCTTCGGGGGCTACAAGCAAAGCGGCCAGGAGCTGAGAGAGTATGGCAAGCCTGGCTCGATGGGGGAGGGGGTTGTCCTGAGACGTCCTCAGGAAACGCGCGTGAGTGGGGACTGATGGGGCTTGAGGAATACCTGGTCACGAAGACGCTGGCTGGAAAGCCTCCTTCGAAACTTTAAAAGCCAGGAGCGTTCCTGGCACAGGTTTTGAAATCCTCGCTGGAAGGATCAGAAGTAGTGGTTGGCATCTAAGGGTGCCTCAAGCGCACTTAGACGTGAACCTGAGTTTGGAGGGATTCTCCAAGCACTTTCTGCTCTCAGAAGGATGGGCATGCAGTCTTTTGCTTGATGTACAGCGCGTGTGAGACCGGATGTCCTGCACCAGCTCAGCGCCGACCTGTTTTGAAGGTGTTGTCAAGCCAGGGTAAGAGCACCACTGCGCCAAAGCCCACATAACCTACTTAGCCCTTCCACGATTGGGCTTTCAGCCATCTTCCAGGAGCTCGAAACCTTGAAGGCCTGCTTTTGTTTTTGCCCGCCTCTTTTTTTGGGGGTGTGGCCTTATGCTATCAGAGAGAGCAGCTCTGCAGGCCAACGAGAGCTTCAAGGACCACCCCTACATTGCGTTTGTGGACAAGCAGACGCCATGGCTCAGGGAGCTTTACGCCAAGGATGCACCTCGGGGGCAAGAAGCTCTCAGGGGAATCTCTGCCCCGAGTGCGTAGTGCGAACCGTGTGAGCTGTGTCGGTTGTTCAGGTTCCCTGGGGCCTGATTCATGGTGCTATCCCCAGTTTGGGGGACGATTTGAGGCTGAAAGTTCTGCGTCCTGCATCTGATGAACGCCGAATGCTTCCTAGGTGATGCCTTCCTGGACAACACCCTCTACGAGGCTTGAAAAACCAGCATCCGAAGCATCCAACCCTAACCCTAAATCCTAAACCCTAAAACCCCTGAACCCCTAAACCCCCAAACCCCTAAACCCCTAAACCCCTAAACCCCTAAACCCCTAAACCCCTAAACCCCCAAACCCCCAAACCCCTAAACCCCTAAACCCCTAAATCCCTAAACCCCTAAACCCCTAAACCCCGAAACCCCTAAACCCCTAAACCCCTAAACCCATACCTTAAATCTTTCGCTCCAGGAGGGGCCGGCCGGCAGTGGCGACTGCAAGCTCCTGGCCTTGGTGGATTGGGAGGACAAAACTTGGAACCTGCTGTTTTTTTGGTTGAGGGTTTAGGGTTTAGGGTTTAGGGTGGGGGGTGGGGGGCAACTCAGGATCACGAAACAGACTGTACACTTGTGACCGCTTTTGATACCATGACTCCTCTTACTTGCTATGACTCTGATTCTCACTGCGGCAGAGAAGTTGACCTGATTCATGCAGCTTCTGGCTGAGCATGGTAGCTGCAAGCATGAAGCAAGCTAGAATTCTTGAGCATCCCAACTCAGCTCACCTTGCAGAGCAAAGCAGCATACAAGGACCGCACAGAGATGAAGTTTGTAAGCAGAGAAGCAGAGAGCGCCCATGCTTATGGACCACCTCTTTCAAATAACCTGGTTGCTGAGTGCTGTCGCCGGGCTGGAGACAAGGTGGTTTCAGCAACCTCTTGATCACGACAGCCACTTGGCTACAACTTGCGTGAGGCCCAATTGTGCAAGAGCGTCCTCGTTCGTTGCCCTCGCACGCGCTCGTGCGCCAAATCAGTAAGGCAATTCCTCTGCTACGTTTGCGCAGCAGCTGAGCTTGCATTACTCTTGTCCACCCGCATGTAGTGTAGTACACTTGCGTAGTAGAAGAGAGCATAGTACAGCAACAACTGTAGCACAGTCACAAGTCAGTATAGTAGCCACAGATATGTACCCAGAATAGATGGTTGCCTGTGAAATGTGGCTTCTCTTCAAGGCGATACTTGGTGGATGACTCGGAGGTCGGCCCGGATGTTCGCAAAGACCACGTCCGCTGTCGACCTTGATGTCCTTGTCTACTTAAGATGGGGACAGTACTTTAACCATCTATCGGTAGTCACATAAAGGAATCTGTGTCTTCACCTCATGTTGGTTGTTGATGCCCTTGTAGGCTGATGACGATGGCCCCGTGCTTTTCTTCTGCGGCAACGAAGGTGACGTGGAGGTGGGTAGGGGAATGTCATGGACCAAATCCGAACCCGCTTGAACCCCGAAGATTTTGAGGTCTTCGCAGACTTCAGCAAGTTCCTGAAAGAGGCTGCAGCACCTCGGCAAATCAGCAAAGCATCGAAGGGCCAAGTGGTTTCCATTGACCAGGAAGGTGCATGATTTGAGCCACATGCGTGTGTTGGATCTGGGTGCTCTGGGGCTGTTAGTCCATCGGGGAGCCCAAAACGTCCCCAAAAGTCGAAGCCCCCCCAACGTTCCCAGCCTGCGTAACGAGGCCTCCTTGCGGGGCAAGCTGGTCTTTGCAGAGCACCGCTTCTACGGCAAGAGCCTGCCCTTTGGCACCGCCGCCTTGCCTATCAGCCGAGTGGTCGGTCCTTAAAGGGTTCATAGGGTTTTAGGGTTTAGGGATGGGGTTAGGGAACGGACAGGTCTGATGAGCTTTTCGACTGCAGCTCAGGATTTCGACAAGGAGCACGTCAGGTTCCTGACGGTTGAGCAAACCCTGGCGGACTATGCTCAACTGATTACGCAACTCGTCGCACACAGCCAGTCGCGGCTCGTGACTTCGTAGATTGCGCCTTCTGGTCTTTGGGTACGAAGGTCCCTGAACGCCGACATGCAGCGCAAAGTCGTTGTCTTTGGTGGATCCTATGGCGGAATGCTGAGCAGCTGGATGAGAGCCAAGCACCTTGGACAGAATCATGGCTGGTGATCCATGGTTGGGGCTAGGTTATGTAACCATCTCTGCCTATTTGCCTGCGGTGCAGGTACCCGTCTCTCGTCTTCGCCGCCGCATCTTTGGCATGCAAGCAAAGACGAGACACTAGACTTGGCCATGTATGCATATATTATATATATATACACATATAGATACACATATGAATATCAAGTGTATGTATATACATACATATGAGTATCAAAATGTACATTGTGCATATTTATGCAGTCTGCTTGGGATCCCGGTGCCTCTGCAGGTAGCGTCCTCAGCACCTCTGCACTTCGACCGCGTCGGATCCTTCTTCAGATTGGTGACAGATGCTGCGGAGGTCAGGTCGCCGTGGTTTAGGGTTTAGGGTTTAGGGTTTAGGGGTTAGGGTATGCACGCAAGAAGCTGTCCGATGTTTTTAACTGCAACCAGTGCACGAGGGAGCTGTTTGTGTTGTTGCATTCTACTGACAAGCACCGTCTGATGTTCGGAGTCGCCACCTCATTCTCTCGTCAAGCAAAGTCTTCCTAGCAGAAAACCCACACGAAACCCCAAACGCTGTCTCTCTCAGTCTGCCCTTCTGCACAAGGCCACCCTCAAAGCCACAAGCACATCAGAACGCGATGGTGCGGTTTCACGAGTGGTTTGCTTCTACTCCTAAGGTCACCGGTAAAATAACAATATATGAGTTCGTATACTATTGTATCATAGTATGATCATATAAGTCAGAATTTCGGCAGGCAACGCAGGCACCAGAAGCAGGTACTGGTAGCGTAGCTAGACATAAACCCGAAACCCTAAACCCTATACCCTAAACCCTAAACCCTATAACCTTGTACCCCCAAACCCGAAGCCCCACACCCCAAGAGAGAGCCGCAGGAAATGGACCCAGGCTGTGCTGGCCGGGTGCGCACGGGCTTTGCTGCCCTCAAGGCAGCGACACCCGGCTCCAGGGTTTACGTAGGGTTAGAGGCCTTAGGCTTCGATCTTTTTCTCTTGACACCTTAACCCCTAACGGTCTCTCTAAAACACGAAACTTGTAAACTCGGAATCATAAGCCTAAACCCTAAACCGACAGCAGCCGAGAAACAAACCGAGGAGTCCTCGATCGCTGCAGCGTGCGTTTGGGCTGTGTCGCCCACCTTTGGACTTGGACGAGCTCGTTCTCTGGGCTCGGAACGCCTTTGTAACCGATTCTTACCTGCATGATCTGGCCGTCAGGGATCCTGCATAATGGTATTAAGCAGCAACTTAAGATAATCATATACTAGTAGAGCAGCATCGTAATTTAGTATAAGGTTCTAATTTAGTATAAGGCTCCTTTGGGGTTCAGGGGCAGCCATGGCAAGTTCGTGTGATCCTGTGACCCATAGGGCCATCTCAGGTCGCCATGGGCAACTACCCTTACGCAGGGGACCTCTTTGGAAAAGGCAGGGTTTAGGGTTTAGGGCTTAGGGTTTGGGGTTTAGGGTTTGGGGTTTGGGGTTTAGGGAGTTTAGGGTTTAGGGTTCAGGGTTTAGGGTTTAGGGTCCGGGGTTTGGGGTTTAGGGGGTTTAGGGGGTTTAGGGGGTTTAGGGTTTAGGGTTTAGGGTTCAGGGTTTAGGGTTTAGGGTTTAGGGTTTAGGGGACCTCTTTGAGCAAGGCTTGGAGGCCTGGCCGCTCCGCGCGGCCTGCCGAAGCCTCCGCGAGCCCCTGGAGCCCCTGGAGTCGCTGGCAGCGGCCGTGGGCTCCTACTACAACGCCACAGGCTTCCCAGAGACTAGAGTTTGGGGTTTAGGGTTTAGGGTTTATAGCTTTTTATAGGATTTAGGATTTCGGGTTTAGGGATGAGGGAGGGATATCCCTTAATTTATAATCGGAACCCTAATATGATGTAAGGTATATTCCTTAATTAAGGGGTTTTGGAGTCTCTGGCTTCTCCTTGGGACCCTATTTTTTGGGTCCCTATTTTAAGGGGATCCTACTACTTGGGGTCTAGTTTAGGGGTCCCCCATTTTCGTAAACCCCTATTTAGGCTTCTCCCGGAGCCCTCTTTTTACCTGAAGAGTATTCGTAAGTGCCCTATTTGTAGGTTCTAACCCTTAAACCTGTAGGTAAACAGGGTCCCAGGCTAGCATGCTTTTAGCCATGTAGGTAGTCTCGGGCTACTCACTGTAGCTACTTGTAGGAGGACACTGTTGCTGAACACCGGCCGACCAGTACTGCAGCTGCATGTCAGGCGATGTTCACTGCCACAACATCAGCCATGAGTACCGGGACTGCGCCGATCAGACCGGCTGTGGTACAGCCGACTCCCCATGGGGCCGATCGTGGGACATTGAAGCATGCCGGCAGATCGTGTATTATACGCCTACCGACAATGTGAGCGACATGTTTCCGCCTAGAGCCTGGGGCCTGGCAGAGCTCTCGCGCTACTGCCAGAGAACGTGGGGACTGCAGCCGCAGCCGAACTGGTTCTTGCCATGGATGCGACCTTGTCCGAATTTGCCCACCTCTGGATCTGATATGTGTTGCGAGCATGGCATACCCTCTGCTAGTCTCCTCAAGACGAGAGACGCGCAAGTTTGCTGATGCTGCAAGGTCATCTGTGAGCAACAGCAGCCGCATCGTCTTCACCAACGGCCTGCTTGATCCGTGGCGTGGCGGCGGGGTGCGTGGCTCTGAGTTGCCTCTGCTGTTCTGCGAGACTAGTCCCGCCACGTGCTGCCTCAGCACTTGCTAGGAGAGCGGGATGCAGAGAGATTGGCCTGAATCAGGTTGCACTCTCTTTCCAGCACGCTGGTGTCGCTGCAGATACCAGGGGCTGCCCACATCTACGATTTGGCCGGCAGCCACAAGGACGATGTTCCTGCCGTCCGGATCGCCAGGCGACTGCCTCACTCCACTTTAAACCCGCTGCCTTGTCTCTGCCTCTATGCAGTTACTCGGCCGAATGTTCGGGAGAGCAGCTAGTTGCGGTTTTGACCGGATGGCTGGCAGGCAGACCGTGCTGAATCTGCTCCGGATGTGGTTGGACACCCCTCAGACTCGTCCTGAGCACTGGGTGGTGTAAACGTGGAACGCCAAACCATGCAGGTTGCATCGGTCATGTTGACTAATTGCCAGCATGTATTGTCACATACCGGATATTGCGGTCATCTCGGGAGTCGTTGCTTTCCTTTTGCTTTGCTGAAGCTTTACGTGCCCCGAGCTTTGAGGTTCTGAGGACAGGTGGCAGGAGACTGACCCTCCATCCCCACACAGGTCTGCAACCTCCACGCATGTCGGGTTAGTTTCTCCGTCCTGTGACATAGCCGAGCTCACATCATTCGCAGGGCTTTGCCCGCAGCTTCGCAGCCATGGCGACCGGCAGCTTCGAGGTATCTCGGTCTCGGTCCAGGAGGTGGGACCAGGAGGTCAAGAGCATCAGCCGGGATGGCTCGGACTGCATCGGCAGCTGCCATTGGGTGTTTCGGTCGACCTCTCGGTCGATCCCAACAGAGTTTGAGAGCCGCGTCGTGCCTTTGGATCCTGTGGCGCTCTGGAGCAAAACCAGGAGTGTGGATGTGGACTCCCGGCCAAGTTGGTCCATTCCCTCGGCGCGGCCCTGCTCAATGGAGCAGTGGAGGGCCAAAGCCCCAGCCAAGCTGGCATCCAAGCAGCTGGTGCCTGGACCCAGCTTCTGGCACTCGCATGGCAGCGGCAAGGGCCGATACGGCTTCTCTGAGGGGCTGATCGGGGCAGCCCCGATGCGTGCGCAGACCGCTGGCCCTTCACAACCTTCAAGATCGGTGCGTAAGGCTGATCGACAAGATCTCGACTCCAGCTTGAGAGCTTCGAGCTTGCCACTCAGATAGCACATAGTGAGAGACTTTTGCTGTCCTTCTCTGATCTTCCAAGTCCACTTAAGGTTCATCGGGACCTTGGACGAGGAGCAAATCCGTGGGCGGCACAGTGGACCAAAGTTCAGTCCACCGGCGGCCAAGAAGTTGAGTGCCCTCACAACCGCCGTCCTGACCCCCCGCTAGATCAGTTAGGGATAGTTAGGGTGCACCATGGTGCACTTCATCCTGCAGTCCATAGACGCTGCCAGAAGGCACTGTCACGTGATCGGCTGCGGGCAAAGATCTTGAAAGCCGCTTCTTGGGCCATCAAGCTTGGGTGCCTGAAGATCCATGTCATGTCTGTGCCTCATGAGCATGTGATCGTGCTGTCACGTGATGTCATGTGCTCATGCAACAAGTCACGACGATCAAGTCTGTGACGTTGACGACAGGAATCGAGCAAGCAGTAGATACACCACGTTGCCTATTTTGTCGGCAGTGAGGTAACGTCAAAACCGCAACCCTACCTAAACCGTAAGCTTCGTAAACCCTCTTAGCATGCACCATTGGATTGCAACCCTGCCATGGCGGCAGATACTGGAGATTCGGGCGCCCCTGACACAGAGAATCTCTCTGTGTCGGAGGTGGAGGTGGCAAACGGGATGCTACGAGGGTTTAGGGCTTCATAGAGTTTATGGTGATATTGTGTCCTCAGATGTTGTTCAGCAGCTGGCGCTCGAATGCCCTGGATTCCGCAGGAGTTGTACAATGCGGCCCTGGCCGACGTGCAAGCCTCTGCATCCTTGACCGCAGAACAGCGGAAGCAGCGGGGTCAACGACTGGCCGCGCTGTCCAAGGCTTCCCGGCACCCTTCAACCCCTAAACCATCCTAAGCCGAAACCTTATGAGTAGAACCCATGAAGAATCACAGCAGCAACAGTAATCACATGAATCATCACAGTAAACAACAGTAATCATGACAACAAGCCCTCAAAGCTAGAAAGTGGGGGCGACGCTGAGAGACGAGCGTGCGCGCCGCCTTGGAGGCGCTGCGTGCTGCCAAGCGCAAGCCGCCGGAGAAGACGAAGAGCCTCTGAGGGTTGAAGCGTCGGTTGAACCTTTGTTGGTCTACGACTTTAACCCAAAACTGTTTGGGTGTAGGATGTCTGGTGAATCTTTAAAAGGGGCTTGAAAGACCAAGGCCCAGAAAGAACATGGGTCTTGGGATGTTGAGGTAGGACACAGGGTTTGAAGTTGCCGGTGTTAGAGCTTCAGCTAGAACGGTTCATTTTGCAGGCCTTGGGGTTTACGGGGGTGTCTACTCGCCTGCCGACTACAGACCGTAGCTTTCCCGCTGAGGAGGCCCGAGTGGCAAAGCTACCCGGAGCCAACTGCGCTTCCAAAATGCTCCGACGACCCAAGGTACGCCAAGTGCTCAGTGGCTTCGTACACCTCACAAAGTGTAGGAGAGCACCTGTTGTGATGACATTTCTGAATTAGTAGAGGTATGTCCTAAAGACATGTAGCAGCATGAAACAAGCAGAACTGTATTCAAAAAAGGAAAGCTGTGCACTTCGGGGTTGTTGTACAGTTCAGGCCTTGAAAGTTCAACTCCAGGTCCGGAGCTTCAGCATTGACGACGCACAGAGGGCCAAAGAGTTCTTCGAGCGTTATGGCTTCGTGGTGTTCAACGATGTCCTCGAGCCAGGGGAGTGCCAGAAGCTGAGAGCTTGCCTTGCTACGCTGCAGGGTTTAGGGTTTAGGGTTTAGGGGTGTGTCCTGGGACCTGAACCTTCTCCGCAATCCTAAGCCCCTAGCCTGGAAGCCTACGACATCTACATAGGGGTTTCCATAAAATAGGGATACCCGTTTATGGGGATTCTCCCCATTTTGGGAAATGCATCCAAAGTGCCGACACCCCCAAAAGGCCTGAAGAAGTGCACGCCAAGCGACGGAATTGAGGTGAAGCCACGGTGTCTGAAATCTGGACATCACTCGAAGAGCGCACCCCAGGACCCGGGTTTGGGGTTTAGGGTTTTGGGGTTTAGGGTTGAGGGTTTGTGGTTTATGGTTTCCCTCTATTAAAGCCTTTAAAACCCCATAAAACCCCAGAAGCCCGAAAACCCTACAAACCCCATAAACCCCATAAAACCCTATAAAACCCCATAAACCCTATAAACCCTACAAATCCTGTAAACCCCATAAAATCTCATAAAACCCCATAAACCCGATAAACCCCATAAACCCTACAAACCCTACGAACCCTATAAAACCCGTTAAAAACCTATAAGCCCTACAAACCCTAAATCAAATGAACCCTATTATAAACCCTATGAGCCCTATGAACCCTAAACCAGACCCCAGGCCTTCGGCGCGACGGGCCGGAGACGTGGTCCCTGCTCTCTTCGGAGCGTTACGGGCTTCCCGAAGAGCAGGCCCGAACCAAGCAGGGTTAGAGGGTTCAGGGGGTTTAGACAGGGTTTATAGAGGGTTTGTAATATAGGGTTTTTAGGTTTAAAGTTGAAAGGGTTTGGAGGGCTTAGAGGGTTTAGAGGGCTCAGAGGGTTAAGAGGGGTTCAGGGTTTCAAGCTTAGGGCCGCCCACAAATGGTCACCGGATCCTGTACTGCTGGGGGTTTAGGATCTACGGTTCAGTATGTAACCCTCCTCGCCCTCTCACCCCCCCCCCCCTCAAAAAAAAAGTTGCCGCTCATTTTCCTAAAAAAGCTCTGTGTGTGTGTGTGACTGAGAGCGTGAGCCTGCTCCGGGGTAGGGTTAGGGTGGCGGAATTGCATGAGTATACAGAACCCTAAACCCTAAACCCCTAAACCCTAAACCCAGCTTCCGGTCTTCAGCTTCCAGGCAGTTTTTACTCCCCAGATGGTGGCCAATCGGCAAAATCCTCGAGTCTATGCCGCGCTCGACGCTGTGCTGCCTCGCATCGGACACCTGGAGGACACTGGGCAGCCACAATGTTTACGGTTTAAGGTTTAGGACCCTACTAGTACGCCCCCCTCAAAAAGCCCTACAAGCCCTATTTTGATGGGAAGGCCCCTTCAATCCATGGAAGGACTTCGACAGTCCGCATCCCGAGCCCGACAGCGTGGTGGTAACGCAAGACAGGCTCCTGGGGCTGTTGTTCTGAACTGGCGGCTCACGATATTCGGGGTACCCTATTATAGTCCTTATCATGAGGGATCCTGCCATTTGGGGGGTCTATATTCGGGCCGCTTAGTATCGTAAACCCCCAACTAAGAAGGGCCTCATCTACAGTCTCCTTGGGACATTGTGTGTTGTTTTTGTTTAAGTTTATACGCAACCCAGAGGAATATGTAAGAGAAACATCTTCTGCCATGGTGGGCAGGGGCGTATCGTCATAAACTCTCCGCTAGATTAACAATCCCCAGTTTGGCACACCTTCCGTGGGAAACTTTGCCTCGTCTGCTGCGCCCTGAGCCTGGGCCTCCAGCTTCAGGTGGTGCATCTATCGCCCTGCCGCTGACGATGAGACTTGGAGAACGGCTGAAAACCTTCACCTGGATGTCAATCCTTGGACTTATGCTGGTCTGAAAGCAACCGAGATTGAAAGCCTCAGGCTCGGCACCATAAACACACACGGCTTCTGTAGCCCCGTGGAGCCTTTTTTAAAGCCGGGTCAGCCTGGAGGTATGGCTCCGAAGATTTCAGCGATCATCGGTTCCCCTTGCAGGACACCCGTGCCACATTCAGGGCAAACTGCTCCAGAGAGCTTGCATGTGAACCCAAAAGACACCATTGCAGTGTGAATTGAGAACTGGCGCCACTTCTCAGGACTTCCGAGCAGAGCTCACGGCTGTGCAGGGCCGTGGGTGCCCCACCGGAGAGCACGTGCAAGGCGTCCTCAACCTCCTTGACAACCTCGAAGAGGCGCGACGGGTCGTGCGTTTGCAAAGTGTGAGCATGTGCACGTCTGTGCGCGAAGCGTCGCAGAGCAGGATGGTGGAACCCGAGTTGTGCCGGGCTTCCATCGAAGCTTCATGCCATGGCTGGAGAGTCTAGGCCCGATCAGAGTCCCTCTGGAGATGTGAAGGGGTACACCATCGGTACCATGATAGTACCATGGCTACGTCTGGGTGCAGAGCTTCAGAGCTTCCCCCCTGGCAGGAGCTATGGAGGACAACTTGTCGCAGTGCGGGCAGCATGACAACTGGGTTCTCCGGCGTGCAGCGGGCGGCGGAAGCTTCAAGTTCTCCAATCTGGACCCACTCCATGGCCTGTCCAGGCACTGGTCTTGCAATTACTTCAGACGATGTTGGCACTGCATGCCAGATACACGTGCCAGCCTCGTCAGTGTGCACGCCTGTGCCAGGCGGATACCTCTGCGCGCAGGCAGCTTCCTTTTGTGGAACCAGCTCGTCGTGCACGGCAGTTGCGCCAACCGATCGCACAACTTCAGAATGGCGCAATTCATCACCGGATTCCGGGCAGGCGCTGAGCTCCGGTGATACTTCGGATTTTGCCGTGAGAAGTCCCACATGACCAAAATTTAAAAGCCACATACTGAGGACTGCTATCGGATGTACTGAAAAGCCGTGATTCTGTTCGGAGGCAGCTTTGCACGTAACCACCGTGTTTTGCATGTTGTGCGTGTGGAGGTGAGATGACCCCGGGGCGCGCATGGGCGCGAGCGGCTGCTGTGCAGCGGCTGTGCTCGGGTTTGCCGCTGTCTCCCCTGGCCCCGCATGTCTTCGGCATCTCTGAGCAAAGCTGCGAGGCACCCAGGCCCGTGAGTGGACGGCGGAGGGGCTGAGGTAAGTAGGTACCAACCCGATCGATGCTTTTTCTTTTAATTAGTTCAAACGTCACATTACCTATGCTTTCATAAGATTGGCTGGTTCGTAGCAGGGAATGATGGAATGAGGTACCGTACATTGACATCCCCCTATATATACCCTTTAAGGGAGTATGTAGCGCACCTCATTCCCCTATTCCCTACTAATAACCAAGGGAAGACTCCTCGATTCGCCTTCTTGCAGGCCTCAGCCTGTGACTCGTGGGACTTCTCGCGAGCGGATGGCCTGCGACCACGTGCTTGGCACTGTGCCTCAGGGCGATGCAGAGGGCTTACTGAAGGCGCAGAAGACCAGGGGTTCAGGGGCTTTCCGAAAATCGGGGTACCCTTTTTGGGGGTTCCTGTGTAGCATTTTGGGGCACGTACACTAGGGGGTACCCCTATTCTGGGAAATGCCCACCAGATTCCGAGCGGGCGCTTTGGGCTTTCCATTTGTAAGGTGCGAGAATGTTTTTTTGTTTTTTTTTTTTGGGGGGGGGGGGGGGGGTGGGGGCCGGGGGGGGCATGGCCGTGTCTGAAAGGCCTTCGAGGATTTTCACCTGCACTGCCGCTCGGATTGGATGCTGTTTGGCAAACGTTGCAGGCCTGATCCGCCTCCAAAGTCTATTTTGCTTGACTTCGGTTTCTACTCAGCTTGCAACGTGCCGCAGATGTCAGGAAGCGCAGGGACAAGCAAGAACAAATGCAAAGCAAAACGCGCTAGTTCTCCACACAAGTGGCCAACCAACGACCTCTACAGATTATATATATATATATATTTATGGTACGTTTCTATTTGGCGTATAAATTATATAGATGTTTAATTTTACGTGTACAAGCCCAGCCATAAGGCCGGCCTTTGATCCACGTGGGCGGGCAAAAAGGGGAACACCTCGATGCTGCGGTTCGCGAGCGGAAGCCCAAACGTGCCCTGGAGCTGGGGACCTATCTGGGCTACTCGGCCGTGGGGCCCCCAGCTTTGGGGTCTATTTTTGGGCTGTCTTTGAGTTCAATTCTGGGAGTACTTTGGGTTTAGATTTGGGATGACTTTGGGGTTGAATTTTGGACTACGTTGGGTCTTTGGGCTTGGGGTTGCTTCGGACTGGAACCATGAGATGAACAAAGGTCCGCATAGCTCGCTGCTTGCCGGCTGCTTGGCAGTCAGATCGCTTCGCTACACACGTCACGCAAGTTCATGGGCGACTGTTGTGTATGTCTTGTGCCGTCAAGCTTGCGCAAGCATAGCATGTCGAGGATGGGGCCACCCTTTATACAGTGGAGGAGGACGCGCAGAACGCTACTCTTGCGGAAGCATCAATTGCGCAGCTGCCACAGCATATTTGGCACAGTGCCGTTCACGCAGATACAAGTACCGGTACCAGGAATGTAGATATAGAGTGCCATGGCTCGCACCCCCACGCTCAGGCACGCTGGCCTGTCTGCCAAGATAGTCGTTCTGCTGGGTACGGTAGAAACGCTGAAGCTCCCAAGCTGCAAAAGAGGATTATTTACTGCTCAGAGTGAGGATGCCCCCCGAGATGATATTTCAAGCTAAAATGTACGCTCGGGGTGCCTGCAAAAAAAGGCCAAAGTTGCTGGAGCTGGCACCTTTCGACTTCGTCTTCCTGGATCATCAAAAAGCTCTCTATCTCGAGGACATCCGTTTTCGAAAGGGTTTCAGAGATGTCTGATCTCAAAACATCTTGGTTCGCGACGTCGCCTCATTGTTACCTAGGTGTCGTGTGCGCGTTAAGTTAAGACTTCAGCTGTTTAGTAGCTGTGGTAGGTAGATGGTGCCTCGAGCTACACTGAAATCCTAGGGACGAGGATGCAGGAGATGGCTCAAAGGGATGTCGTCAACCCAGCTTCAGGATAGCCAAAACCCAATATCAAGAACCCGACGATCTCAGGAGATCCAGCGCCTGGAGGCAGACTTTCTGATAGCTCTGACGATTCAGACAAGTTGTGCATGAGAGCGTGTGAGCCGGGCTCTCTGAGACAGGCTTGGAGGCTTGTGCGACACGGGACCACAGTGGTGGCAGACAACATCGGAGGATGCAATCGGGCAGACTGCCGCGTGGAGCTGAGAAGCGTTGCATGAGAACATGCAATTTGTGCCCTCAAGTCCCACAATTCGGCTCTATCAGGTCGTGTGACATGCGGCTGCGCCTACGCCAGATACGTCCGATCATCGGGCAGCTACTGCTCTCGCTTCTTCTGGGGCTCGCGGGACGCTCGCCCAGTATCATGGTAACTCTGAGCCTCCTCGGGCGCCACGTCAAGACTGAAACATGATGGGGTTTCCCCTTCTTCTCATCAGACTGTTTTCGTTGTTTCAAATGGGCTTGCATCCTTGACGAACTCAAGGGGTTTAGCAGCACATGCAGGTGGTTTGGTGGGCTCATCATTGCATCATGCTTGATGCTGTGCAGCTGTGCAGGATGGCATAGAGGTCTCCTCCGCCATCAAGCCGGAGATCCCGGATCACTGTGTGGCGCCTTGCCTGAGACGGCTTTCGACCTGAACCGGGTTTCAGATTTTTTGTTCGATTCTCTCGCTTTCACAGCACACGTTGGGCAGAAGAGTGCCTCAGAAAAGTGGCTGAATAAACCCAAGGAAGTGGCGACGTCAGAAGCAGGAGCTGGCCTTGGGGACTGCCCGCGAAGCGCGCGGAGTCGCTCGGAGGGATTTTGCTTCCAGTGATTTTATGTGGCAATACGATCTCAGAATATGATGACATGAAGATGTATCATAACAATGTAATTAAAAGGATGAGCCTGCTCTGCAAACAAGGCAACCCCAGCACGTCTGCGGAGGGGTGCCACACTGTTCCAAGGCGCCTACTGAGCTGGGCAAGCTGGTGTCAGGATTGTCAGGCCAATGAGTGCGCGACAAGTCTCACCGGCCTGAATCTCTGGCTTCGGAGAAGTCTCTACGAAGCTCCTGTTGCTGCGAGAGAGACGCCTAAAACATTGCTTAGCTTGCAAGAGCAGGTGTCCGTTAATATTGTTTGACGACGCAAACCGCCTGCAGCCAGCTTGCCAAACCTTCCAGGATTCCTGCATTGGCCCCTACGTCGTGGACCTGGCGGTTTGCGCAAGCGCATGCTGCTTCACCGCCGGCGGCTGAACGAAGCTGTGTGAGGAGTCTTTGAAGCACGGGAAAGACCAGCATTTGCCCCCTAAAAACTCGCGCACAAAGGCCTCGAATGACTTGATGCGGCCGAGACTGCTGGCCTGGCACCCGTGATGTCTCACAAGCCCTATAAACTCCCAAGCCCAAAACGTGTTTTGACCGCAGGTCTTGCTAAAGGAGTACCTCAGGCCCGAGCCATATTTCAGATGTGTACGTGCGTGCGTGCGTGCCTGAGTGCGTGCGTGCGTGCGGCCATTCATCCACGGTGCATGTCACCTTCACAGATGAAGTGACGCTGGCGGAGCATCCGGAGAATGTTGCCAGCGGAAACCTTGATGCCTGAAACATCAGGCAGCGCAAGCTTGACTCTGTGGAGGTGCAGCCTGCGACTCAGGGCACCTGCTGCAAGGGGCCGGTTGTGCATTCCCAAAAGCAAGATGGCCATGAGGACATTCCCAGATTTCATGGCTGCCGGAGCATTGGCATGCAGCTTCTATCGGTTTTGCGAGCTGGCCACCTAGACTGGCACAGGGCAATTGACAGCAGCTGATGGGGCTTTGGATGTATGGCCAGCGTGAGAGCTGGGAGTAAGGTCATGCTCTGAGGGCTCTGCAAAGTCTCTCTTTTCGTCAGGGATACACGAGAGAGACAGAGAAGCAGAGAAATGTGGCCCATGGACCTCAGCGAACTCAGGGCGTCGTGCGCCCAGGGGTTTCAGGACTTCAGGGGTAACCCTGGCCCTCAAGCCCAGCAGAAGAGAGACTGGCCTCCCCAGGCCCAGCAGAAGAGGAATAACAAGAGGAAGAAGAAAGAGAGAGAGTGTCGTTTGCAAATGTTTGCAAGCTGCTGATATCATAAAGTCCGCAGCAGTACGATGAAGGCCCCCCCCCCCCTCCGAAGAGTTAGTTGTCAAAGGGCAGCGGAGGGAAGGAACCACGACGGCGTCAGTGGAGGTGAGAGGACTACAGCAAGGCCAACAATGCAAATTTATCTGAATGATGGACCCTTCTTTGGTTTGCAACATAGTAGTTTTTCGATTCTAGTATCTTTCTTAGTGTTTGTTTTTTGTAGCTCTTTCAAAACGGTGTAATTAGGAAGGCTCCGATCTGCAAAAGGAGCACTTCACTGCCCCTCATGGTCATGTACACCAAAATGCGATGATCCCTTTTGTAAGAACCCGCACAATCGGTTGTATCCCTAATGTTTGGAAACATCTATAGTCTGCAGAAGTCGGTGGACAAGACACAATCGTAAGGCTTAGCTGCTTCGCCCTTGTGGCCTGTTGCAGCGGAAGAATTGCGGAATGCCCAGATATGCAACTGATATACAACGGCAAAACAAAATTAATTAAAAGTAGTAGTCGCATTCCTGATGGAACAGCGCCTGGTCTCGGTCGAGGGTTTTTCAATTACAATGCCTGAGCAAAGATGCGCGGGAAGCTGCTAACCCTAAACTAAGCCCTAAACCTAAAACCTAACCCCTAAACCCTAAACCCTAACCAAGCCGGCTCAGGTTTAACGTTCGGCAGCCGGACTCTGATGCAAAGGCCTGATCGAGCAGCGTTTTTTTTCTACATGCAAGGCCACATAGCGACACGATTATCAAATCGGCCGCGTAGCATTTTGCCTGCAGAGCGTAAGTCTGCGTAGGGTCCGCGCAGGCAAGTCTCCGCAGTACCTCCGCGTAGGTCCGCGTAGGTTGTTGGTGTATAGTGTATAGTATGACATATCACGAAGATACAAGTATTATGAAATGCATATATTCTATTCTATTCTATTATATTATGTATTTTCATAATATATATTTATATAGATACACATACGTATAAATACATTTATGAATTTATCAATATAAACCCCGCTTAGGCGCGGCGTAGGCTCCGCGTAGCCGGCGCGTAGGCGTAGGTGTCGTTTTCAACGTCGTAGCCCAGCCGTCAACATCACAAATCGGGCAGGGTTGGGCGGGAAATCGGGCAGAGTTGGGCAGAAAATCTTGGGGTTTGGGGTTTAGGGTTTAGGATTAAGGTTGAGGTGTAGGCTCGCGTAGGATGTCAATGCCATTACAAATTTCCCCACACTGGAAAATCATGCTCTGATCGCTAGATCTTCCTGGAGCGGCTGCCAGCATGCAGCCTTGCATAGAGCATGCCACCTCATGCTGGTACATTGCTACCCTAAAAACCCTACAAACCCTAAAAACCCTAAAAACCCTAAAAACCCTAAAAACCCTCAACCCTAAACCCACTTACGCCTGGATGAAGGCGAAGGAGGGGTACCACCTCATGAAGCAAAGGGCAGAGCTGCTCCTGGAGGGCCCGGTGCGCCAGGCGGCCATCCTCCGAAGTGTTTGAAATTCCCATTCGCTCTTTTGCATCTCTCTGAATGTGCTGTTTAGGGTTTAGGGCTTAGGGTTTAGGGTTGAGGGTTGAGGGATTAAGGGTGCTGTTGCACAGCAGGGCTACGTAGCTTCAGCAACTGCAAGTAGCCACCCGGAGTGCGAGTATTCGCTTTGGCGTTCCATCCAGGCAGTCGTCGATACCTTGGCGGATGCTATGGCAGCCGCTGCCAAGTAGATTGATGCAAGCTGACTTGAAAAAATGGCTTTCTGACCCCACAGCTGTAATGCTTTGAGTTTTGGCGTCTCAGTCACAGTGCAGGATCGTTCCTGTGCCTTCCACATGAGCCCTGTGTCTTGCCGCAGCGCTTTTAGCGTCATCTTTTTCTACATAGCAGGCCTTTCACTTGCCGGCACGGACTTGCAGGCATCGCACAATTACCTCACCGCCGATGTCCGAGCATTTGCCTTTGATTCGATGAATGCCCATGCGGCTGCGTGATAGCGTCCTCTTTGTTGATTCATACCTCCAATGGAACCTTAGGTTGCTGACTAAACTTTTGCAAGGGGCTAGAAGGACCAGCGTAGCTCTGAGAAAATTGAGGATCACCAATGTCCCCAGTCCCAACCTCCCACCAAAAAGTCGCTCAGAATCCTGCGACTGGCGAAGCCTTGAGGTTGAGCTGCCAATCGGCAGCCCCAGCGAGACTGCATGAGGTGCCTCACTGGTATCTGCCCTGAGTTGAAGAGTTGGCCAGGGGCCAGGAGAAGGGACCCTAAACCCTAAACCCTAAACCCTAAACCCTAAACCCTAAACCCTAAACCCTAAACCCTAAACCCTAAACCCTAAACCCTAAACCCTAAACCCTAGACCCTAAACTGAAACAGGCAATTGGGGACGCGGCTTCATGGCCTCGTCCTCATCGCGCCCTTGCTCGGCGCAACGCTGCTCCTGCAGGGTTGTGAAGAAGACCAGGCTTCCGCGCTTCGGCACAACATACACTTGCTGTGATGGTCTGCCCACACACTGAGTCACGGAGTGTGGCCCGTTGCGGTGAGGAGGAAGAGCCGCAGCAATCACCGCCAGCGCACAAGGCCCGATTGGTAATTTGAGGGCATTGCACCTAGCAGCAGAATCGGCAACCGAAGGGGCGCCTGCAGTACGCGTGCAGTGCGTGCAGGATGCTCACAAGGTGGAAAACCTGGCAGCAAGCGAAGATAGCCGGAATCTCGATTTCGATTGTCTTTGTTTTCAGCCCGCAATCTTACGTACTGTGCTTTGTGTAGTGGTAGCAGGCAGTGGGAAGCAAGGTGCAATGGACAGGGCCGGAGCCACAGCTGCTGCAGTGCGGATCTGAAACAGCCTGGCCGTACTCAAGGAGTTGGGCTGTTGCATGTTGGTGTGACGGACCTGCAGAGATCTTTACTGAACATCATGTCGTGGACAGTTCCGCAAGCAACGCCCGGTGAGAGAAGCACCTGCATCCTTGTCTTCTGAAATTTTCCAAGCCGGTTGGGATTTCTGGATGTTAGGTGCCCATCGTAGAGCGACATCAGCAAGATGCCCACGTTTGGTCCTCAGCGGCGCGCATGCACTCAGTGGCCCGTAATTTGAGAATTTGCTGGCGCACGTTTGTTGCTTTTTTTGCATGTGCGTGTGCCCCATTTCCATCAAGGACCGCGCTTTTTCGTTCGGCGGGCCTGACCAAAGTCCTTCAGGACAACCCTTGGCATAGAAGCGGATAGGAGCGGTGAGCACATTCTCCATCGCTCATCGACGTCCCCTCGCGTCTGCCGTCGACTGCAGCTCTCTGTCGAGGACCCTCCTCGAAGCTGGTTCTGATCAACGCCAGCAACGTCAGGGGAGACTCCATGCCTGGTCAAGGTGACCGGCTGCTTCCCGGCCGAAGGTCTCTGAGCAGCCCCGTGTGTCACGTGCCATCATCCTTGGGACCAAATGAACCCTAAAATTTGGGGCCATAGACCCTGTACTACTATAATCCCTATTCAGGTATATGAACCATAAACCCTTTTAAGGTTCGTTTGGTCCTTAAGGACGTACCCACCAGCTCAGGCTAGATCATGAGCGCGCCTTCGAGCGAGCCCTCATGTCGGGCTCGGGAGCGGCCAGACAGGCGGAACATGTGAACCATAGGGATCTAAACCCTAAACCCTCAACCCTAAATCCTTACTAGATCCTAAACCCTAAACCCACATTGCATCTCCTAAGGGCGACAAAGCTGATCTTCACCTTTCCGTTGCCAGGTGCACATGCTGAATGCCGAGCAACTCCTCCAAGACTACTACGCACACACATCTACCACTTCCACGACCAGCACCACCACCACAACCACCACCACCACGACAACAACAGCCACCCGTGCCACGAAAAAGTACTACATGAAATCTGCGGAGTCTGCCTCCAGTTCCACCACCAAGAAACCCACCACAACGACAGCTGCAACAACTACCACAACCCAGACACCGGGCGTCGGGGCCTGAGCTGCGCCGCCCGATTTTTCCGCTTTAGTAACAGTCGGAGGATCTTTCAACTCAAGCAAGGTTTGAACTCTTGAGCGGTAGCTGGAAGCAAGTCCACTGGCCGACAAAGCCGAAGCTTCGTTGAGCCAAGGGTTCAAAGAGGCTTATGGCTCTCTCGCTCGAAGGGCATGGGCTCGTAGCATTCAATTTGTTTGTTTGTTTGTTTGCTTGTTTGTTTGTGTGCTTGTTATTTATGTTATTCATTTGTTGATTGGTTTTTTCAAGTTGTTTGTCATCTTCGGTTTGCATATTTTTGTCTCAGGGATGCGGCCTCATAAGGAAGTTGGAGCTGCAGAGGAAACCACATTTGAGTACGGCAGAACGACGAAGCGCAGCGTGGCCTCCCGAGGCCCAGATGACAGGGGGGAGATCAAGACTCTGAAGCCCAACAACAAACATCGGGCAGCTGACATTGGGCGGCTTAAATATGGGGGAAAGACGGATTCCACAAGCAGCTTTTTGAAAAAACTGATGCAACTCTATCTCAGCACCTGGTGACCATGCTCTTGAGTGTTTTCTATTGTTGAAGGCTTCTGTTTGTTTACCACCCTCATCATTCGTCTGCTCTTGTTCGTCGAGAAGTCGCGGATCGTATGAGTGGCACAACAAGGCCATTGAAGCGGTTTTGTCTGAAGCTTCGCTAGATACTGTACAAAGCTCAGTGCTTTGCTGCAAGCATCTTGTTGCAAGCACAGGTCTTCCTTCCCGAAGCACCTGCGAACAAGGCGCTTGCTCGATATCTGTTGTTCAGGCATGCTTGTCTAGTGAGGCCCTTGCATGAATGAAGGAATGCCAGCACATGCCAGTTCCCAGAAGACATGCTACGCCCTAAAACCCCTAAAGCTTAAACCCCTAGACCCCTAAGCAGTCCAGACTCTCGAAGTGCTTTAGGGTTTAGGGTTTGTGCTCAGTCAGTTTGTGAACGTATGCATGGAATTTAGGCGGCACCTAGCTGGCCCAGAGCTAGAGGAGGAAGAAAGAGAAGTGCTCTCTGACGCTACGTCCTCCTTTGGTTTTATTTCCTGGCTTGGCCGCTTCATTCTTGAATCAGAATGCTGCATCCCCTTTCGGGTTCTTGGTAGGGAGGTTAGGGGAACAAAGGGCCCCACATAATCCCTTCAAGGGTAAAAAGGGGGAGGTAAGGTACCTAGTTCCCTCATTCCCTGCTGGGATTCTAAGAGCCAACCGGTCCCAAGAAGCTATTTTTCAGGGATAGAAGGAGGGACCCGTAATCTTATTCCCAGATAGAACCCCCCCCCTATACATGCCTCATATAGTCCTTATATACCTAAGTAGCCCCTAATTGGCCCCTACATGATCCCCCTTGGTCCCTTGCATAGGGGTCCCTCCTTGAGTCCTTCGATCCGTCGCAGGTCGGCGAAAGCAGCCCCACCAACGCGACCCACGCGAACATGACGGAGCCCGTGCTGGTGGCCGCCCTGGCCCTGGCTCCCAAAATCCAACAGTGGCATGAACCCTAAACCACAAACCCTAAACCTTAAAAACAGAACGTAGCCCTGAGCTCCTGAGCTCCTCAACAAACCCTAAAGTCTGGAAACCCGAACCTATAAACCCGACGCCCTGAGCAAACCCTAAAATCTTGACCTCCTAAACCCTAAGCCCTAAACCCTAAGCCTTAAGCCCGAAGCACGAAGCCCTCAGCCCTCAGTCCTCTGCCTCCTGTTCTGTTGCGCCGATCAGGAAGAGCTGGCGCTCGAGAGGTCCAAAAAATTGGCGCCTCAGGCGCGACACGGGAACACTGTTGGACTGGGCTTTGGACATTCAAAGGTTTAGGGCTTTAGAAATTAGCGGGCGCCTTGGACTCTGAAAGATGGAAAGTACAGGGGTTTGGGGGGCTTTCTTACGGGTTGAGTATTTAGGGTTGGGGGGGGGGGGGGGTGCGACTTCAGGACTTCGGGTTTCTCATGGAGCTCCAGAAGTTCGAAACTCCCCGGAGGGGCTTAAACCCGAAGCCCTGAACCCCTATGACCCTATAGAAGAAGCCCCCTAAACCCCCCAAAAGACCCATAAACCCTAAGCAGCCCAAAGAAACCCGAAGCCCCCGAAAGCCCCAAGCGGAGTGCCACAACAGAGAGACCCTGAGAGGAGTCAAGGAAGAAGGTGCTCCAGGAGGCACGGGACGTGGTGCAAAGATTGTCATGGGTTTTTTAGGGTTTAGGGTTTATGGTCCAGGGTTTAATTGGGGTTTAGGGTTTAGGGTTTAGGGTTGAACCATTGGAGGGTTGTCGGATTTCATTATAGGGGCACTGGGCAGCTGCTTTTGTGTGCTTCTAACAGAAGCCGGACCGAGTTCGCATGGCCCGTGAACCACCTGCGTTTTTTCCGTGATGGAACGGACTCGGCATTTTGCTGTGTCAGTGAGCAACTTGGTGCCCACCTTGCAGGCAAACAGTGTTAGTCCGTCGGCTGCAACCTTCTCGGCCGCTCGGCTCATCTCCTCGAAAGGTGCCACTTCCATGACGCGCAATTCGGGTGGGAGCAATAACCAGACTGTGGTCGCCACTTTCTAGTGCCATCTGCCATCTGAGGCACCAGCTTCTGCAGGAGCAGGCGCCCGAAGTTTCAAAGACAGGTGTTTCCCTGTTTCACGTGAGTCAAGGCAGCCTTATTGCGCTGTGAGGCGCTCAGCCCAACGCCGCTGACGACAGCGAGACGACCTCTTCCACGGAAAGAAGCACCACCGAGAGCACGGCAACAGAGAGCGCGGCAGCAGAGAGCACTGCAACAGAGAGCACTACCACAGAGAGCACTGCCACAGAGAGCACTGCAACGGAGAGCACCACAACGAAGACAACCACCGCTGAGACCCCTACCAACACATCTGCCAGTACCAGCAGCAAGGCAGAGACACAGGACTCAGAGGATGAGGAGGAGGAGGCGCTGCGCGCAGAAGACCGAGCAGAAAAAGAGGCCATCGCCAAAGAGAAAGCGATGCTGGCGGCAGCAAAGAAAGGAGGTCGGGGCCTCGATGTGGCGCATCTCTAACTCATGGTCCTTTCTTGGGTGGCCTAACTGCCTAACCATTAGGGGGCCGCATTCGAACCGTAACCCGCAGAAGGGACCATCATCTAGAGAAGTGAACAGATGAGTTCAGGTTTCGGAAATGTTTGGGTCACCCTTGATACCCTAACCCACGGCTGCACCCCGCCAGGCAAGCCGGAGAACTCTGCAGGCAGCGACGAGGATGGAACTTGTAAGTTCTTCCAAATGGGCCCTTGTACCCTAAACCCTAATCCCTCGGCTCCGGCACTCCAGGACGAGGACTTTGAGGACTCCGGCACCGTCGCGTCCTCGCCCAAGCCGTCCGAGGCTGCTGACCTCCTTCAGCTGGAAGATGGCGACTTGCCTGGCGACAAGGACAGATCTAACTGTCGAAGTGGTTTGGACGGGTGCTCCAGTTCCCCATGCCTTAACTTATGCATGGTCTGGTGTGGTCGAATGGCCCGCGAATGCTGATCCGGGAAGTGACTAGAAGCACCAGTTGGGTCTCAGAATTCATTGAAAGTCTAAACTTGGACTTCACTGGACGTCTAAACTTGGAATCTCCATGCAATCCATGGACCTGTTGAGGACGCGACCGACATTCACAGAGACCAGAGCGTCCGCTGCCCACACCGGGGCTGGCTTTGTTTTTCCTTCCCTTCGTGCCTCCTTCCTGTTCTGGCTTTTGGCTAGGAGACAACTCGCAGTGGTAGCTGCTAGCAGCCTGACCTGTTGTCTCGTGCTATAACGGTGTGTGATGAATGTGATGATCTGCTTGGCCTCGCTCCAGGTCATGCAGCAGCTGGAGGAGGGCGAGTCTGCTGAGGAATCTGAGGACCTTGGAGTGTCTAAAAGCAGTTAGACGCCAGCCAAGCAGGGAATTGGCGGGATTCGGGATCGCAGGAAGACGATCAGACACAGCCGATACAGGCTGGCACTGCCTCCTGAAAAGGGGGTTTCCGAAAATGGGGGCACCCTTTTTGGGGCTCCCTTAGAGGGGGTCTATTCTATTTGGGGTTTTTAACGGGGCACCCCTATTCTGGGAAATGCCCGACATGAGTAAGCGCCAAGCCCACCCCAAAGAAGCCAAGTCTTTGCCCAGGCGACCCGAGCCGACCGATTGCAGCGGGACCGAACGGCCATGCTGGAGCTGCAGGCACTAGCAGCTTGAGCATGCGGCCTTTGGAATCATTTGGGTAGTGTTTACGAAATTACGGTGCGCTGTCAAGTGTGCCATACTCGTAGCAGTCGCTGTCAGTTGCATCAAGATCAGCAGCTGGACGAGCTGCGGAGGCAGCTGCAGAGGCAGGGGAGGGTTTGGGGTTTCGGGTTTAGGGTTCAGGGGTTTAGGGTTTAGGGTTCAGGGGTTTAGGGTTTAGGGTTAGGGTTTAGGGTTTAGGGTTTAGGGTTTAGGGTTTAGGGTTTAGGGTTTAGGGTTTAGGGTTTAGGGTTTAGGGTTAATGGAGCTTTGGGGCCTTCGTACTCCGCTGCGCGTCGTGAAGGCACCAGGATGAGGAGCTGGAGCGTTTTCGCCAGCAGCAGCAGAAGGAGCTTGAAGTGCTCAGGCGGGGCAGCTAGGGTGTTTTAACGTCAAAAAAACCCTTTTAGGGTTTTTTCAACGTTAACAAACCCTTTATGCAGGGCAGCTAGGTTCCGATGATGGGTCGCCCTTGACTGCGTTCAAGCAGGCTGGATGCTTTGCAGTCATTGAATGCAGAGCCTGCCACGGCCTCAGAAGTTCGCCCGTTGACTGCATCCCAGCCACCCTCACGTCCCTTGTGGATGTCAGGCATCGCCGAGCATGAATCTAGAGCATCCCCATGCAAGGCGCAGCTGGATTTTGTTGGATGGCTTGCTGGGTGGCTGTGAAACGCCCATACTCTGGCAACCTCATGTGAGTTCCTTACATGAACAGCAATTCAAACCTTCCGTGCGGTACGAGGCACAAGCACGGCTCCCGGAAGATGGGGCACTGGCTACAGGACTGGCAACGTGGTCATATGCGGTGTGGCTGTACTTCTGACTCTGCGGTTTGCTCTCTAAGCCTTTTGGGGTGCCTGTTGCAGTTCGGAGACCTTAGAGGGACCACAGATTTCGTGGGAAGTTGTGTGCTTTCTGGTTGGAGGAGATTGCCGAAGGCTCCAAGATGTGACCCAGGAGATCTTGAGAGCAAGGAAAGGGTTCCTCTTTGCCGGGGGTTGTTCGAAAAGATTACCTTCTGTTGGGAGTTTAGGAAGTTAAGAGAATTGAGGGTCTTTTCAAGCTCGCTGCGGTTCTCCGACGGTTGGCTTCCCAGACAGGGAATCTGGAAGCCTGGGCGACCCCACTGGACCAGCCCGTTGGCGTCTCACACCGTGCCTGCTATATGATTCTGTCGCACCTGATGTCACTTGTGTCGGGGCGAAGGTCTTGACAGGGCATGCGCTTGATATCAGATCCGGCTTCTCAGCAAGGCGGCCAGGCAGAGCGGACCGCATCGAAAGGCAGGAAAGCAGATGCGGGGCTACGCGAACATCTGGCTGTTGGTTACATGCTGAACTCTACTCGAAATGGACTTTGCCAAGGTTGCAGGTGCGTGTAGTTTGGGGTGCGGGTAAGAGAGAGTGACTGGAAACCACAGATGATCCGAAGAAGGTGCATGACTCGAGTGCACAGAGCAGGTGCTGCTTGACCAGTTAGTAATCACAGGGCGGTTGAAGGTTGAAAAGGGAAGCCTCTCCCACACCCACCCTGCCCCTTCTAGCTTTCACGTCCATTTGGCTGGATGATATTCTATGTGATTTCGTTCGTGTGGGCTCGAGCAGTGCAAAGCGGCGTATGGCCCAGCGGCCCCAAACCGCAAGGCCCGCCGGAGTCGTTGAGCTTCAGGGTTTTTGCAGGGTTTAGGGTTTCGGGTTTAGGGTTTGGGGTTTATAGGGGTTGCCACTGATGTGCAGAGCCTTCAGTCACAACGAATATGGGACTAGTATGGGAGAAGGACAAGTGTGCAATCTTGCAACCAAGAGAAGTGCTTACTTCGAGTGGTTTCGCCCCCCCTTCAGGCGCCCCAATGGCGCAGAAGACCAAAGCACTTGTCCCCCCGGGAGAGGAGGCCGGGTGCCTGGGGATGGTTGGTGCCTACTCCTAGGATGCCTATGAACGGGGTCCCAGCGACCCTAGTTAGGAACAGCCCTGCTGTGGCGCTTCTGTTGCGTCGCGCCCAAGGCACCTTGCAAGCTGCAGAAATGCAGCGCTGAGTTTGCAAGAGAGAAGGAGGCAGGGACCATGCAAGCCGTGACCCACCGATACCCACCGCACGCAGACAGTGCATGGCAGTCCGTGCCATCCGAAATTCGTTCGCGCATGTTCGTGATTCGTGGCTCGCGCTGGAGTGGCCCACTGCGCATCTCAGGCCTCCCAGACACTCCCAACGTGCGAGGCCGCTCTGAAGTAGCACAAATGGCACAGCCTGGGGTGATCAGAACTGAACGATGCCGGATTTCTGCAGGAGGAAGGGCCAGACCAACGCAAAGCCGTCGAAGGAGGATCTCCGGAGGAGAGCGCGGCAGTGCCCGCGAATGAGACCGGCAGCTCGCAGGTGCCCCCCACTGATGTGCCAGACACGCAGCATAGAGGGCAAGGTTTTTGGGTTTTTTTGTCCGGACAATTGGCGACCGTTGTTTCTGGAGGCCGCCAGTGAGATTTCCGATGTGCGACTCATCGCAGAGGCCGGTCATGGGTTTCAGGAAGAACGCCCCTGAAGCTTGTCTTCGAAAGGTCCAGTCCGTCCTGGTGGGCGTGGACTTGCAGAGCATGACCTTGGGCCAACTCCGGTCAAGGTGGGGAGCCCAAAACTACCTCACTCGGTTTGCTCAAGATTGGGCTGGGGTCCCCTTGTTCAGTCACCCTGATATGAAAACCCTTCTGATGCCCATCGAAATCTCGTTTCTGTCTTGGGCCCCCCAACTCCGCACTAGCGCGACGAGCGCGCTGAAGATTTTGAAGGTTGGAAGCGAAGCTGGGCCTGACGGATGGCGCTCTCTCGGCGAAGCGGCGAATCCGCCGGCGATTGAGCTTTGTCGTCCACCAGGAGGCAAGCTGATCGAATGTGGGCCAGTGGTGCAACGTTGTCCTGCTGCAGCGTGGCCCGGAGCAGCTTCCTTCTGCCTCAGGTTTTCAAGAAGTCGCAAAGGTCCCAGCAATGCGAGAAGGTCGTGAAGGAGAGCTCAGTGGGCTGAGTGAGCCCATATGACAGCGGCACTTGCAGCAAGCGATTCGTGCTGGCTCAAGATCTGCTGGACAACGTCCTCCTATGTTACATTTCATAGTCTCGAGCCGTCTACAATCGTGATAGTACTGCTACATAGTCACAGGGTTTGGGGCAGTGGAGGCTGCATGCATGGCATGACCAAGCTGACAATCACGGATGCCGACAGGATCCAACAGGACAGGATTACAATTAGAAGTGTAAAGCTCGGGTGGCTATGACGCTGCGACATCCGAGAAGAGTGTTAGTGACGGCCTTTGCTGTTTGCTTCCTGCCTCTTGGCATTGTGTGTGTGTGGTACATTGATGAAGTGTGTGGTAGTGATCCCTGCGATAGCCTACAGTACTATGTTAGTTTGTGTGTCCATCTTGACGAAACTAAGTGCATGCCGCGCTGTGCTATGCGGTTACGCGTTCTGCCATCGTGCCCAAGGCTGCAGAGGTGGCATGCGGGGAGTCAGCCCCGCCACACTCCAAGCCTTGCGCTTTCTGCGCCGTGGAGCCACAGCCGCGAGCTGGACAAGCACGCCGCGCAGAAGCTTCTGAGCAGTGTCCCGGCTAAAGCGTAGACATTTTTGTGCACGTTAAGTCGCTGCTGCACATCGCTGGAGCCAGCAAAAACCTGGCCATGTGCCTTTGAGTCTGTTGACAAGCTGCTTCACAAGACGCAGAACAAGGTGCAGATGTGTTTGTCTTTGACCTGGATGGCGTGATCTGGATCGGAGACAAGCTGGTGGACGGCGTCCAGCAGGCTTTGGTAGACTTGCGCAGTGCGGGCAAAGCCGTGGTGTTTGCGACGAACAATGCCATGCGGACGCGAGCGGATGCTTCTGAGCTCAAGCAGTGCCTGCTGTGCATTGAAGTTGACTCCCTAAACCCTAAACCCTAAACCCCAAACCCCAAACCCCAAACCCTAAACCCTAAACCCTAAACCCTACTCATCTTCTCATGGTGTCTTGACAGCTGCCTGAACTCCAGGTTGCCGGCCGGTTGAGGTTGCTGGGAGTGGACTGGGCTGAAGAGAAGCACGTCTTCAACAGCGCAGCTGCAGTTGCGCAGCTTCTTGCAGCTCTGCTGAATGCACTGGCTAAAAGCTCGAACACCCGCAAAGAGCTGAACCCCAACGCCCGAAACTCAACAGAACACCAACACATCCAGCAAACTCCATAGTTTTAAAGCTATCAACAACGAGCTTCAGGAGGCACGTGGGATCCCCAAAGATCGGGACATCTACGTCGTCGGCGAGGCTTTTGAGGGCCGCCCTCAAACATCCTCAAGTGGGGGCTTATCGCGGTTTAAAGGGGGTTTAGGGTTGAGGGTTTAGGGTTTAGGGGGGTTGAAAAGGGCCGTAGAGGGGCGTATAGAGGGCTTACTGTGGTTTGTTGGAGTTGTTAGGGGCTTATAGAGGGCTTATATAGGGGGCTTATAAAGGGGCTCATACGGTAGGGTTAGAGCTTGGGGTTCTCCCTCAGAAACGCGGGGGGTGGGGGGGAAGAGACCGTCAAGTCTGGAAGAGTGCTCCTGAGGCACCTGGGGATTGGTTAATAATGGTATTGTGGGTGCTCTAAAATAATATAATGATGAGCCCCTTATTGTAATACTATTATCGCACCTACAAGAATATTTTACTGGCGCGTTCATTCGTGTACTATTTCCCCACGTCTTATTATTAATGTATCACGGGGTGTACGAAGAGAATACTGATATTAAAGGGGTATGTGAAGAGAACGTAGTGAATGTAATGCACGCCCTTGTAATATTATCATGAATTAAGTTGGGGTGGCTATGAAGAATATAACAGTATTAAAATTACGTAGAGAAGTAAATGACAAGGGCGTGAATGAATTTATGAATGAACAACCGCGTGCATTTAATGAACGAAGTGAAGAGAGTAAGTGAAATAGATTTGTAAGTGAAAGTGTGAAACAAGTGAGCGCATGAATTCATTTCACGGACGAACGAAACAGCAAAGGGACCATGAGGTAGAAATTGCCGCTGGGCGCTGTTAACCCAGCTCACGGATCGCTTCTAAGGGTGAATGGAATCTTCTCCTTCGCTGCATTCTTTCTCTAGTTTCGCTCACTCTTTTTCTTCGTTATCTTCGTTCTCTCATTCGTTCAGTCACTTCGTCTTATTGTTCATATTATCCCGCGCAAAATTAGTAGTAGTACTCTTGTAAGCGCGGGAACAATAGTAAACATATGGCAAAAACCCAAAAAGTTGGTATATTAAATGGGGTTTTTTTACTCCGTTCACTCGTGCATGAATTAATTTCACGCAAACGGCGACGGCTTCTGCTGCTGCTGCTCCTCCTCCTACTACTACTACTACTACTACTACTACTACTACTACTACTACTACTACTACTACTACTACTAGTACTACTACTGCTGCTGCTGCTGCTGCCGCTGGTTAAACCCTCAACCCTCAACCCTAAACCCTAAACCCTAAACCCCAAACCCTACAAAACTTCAACCCCTCAGAGGCCGGGCTGCGGGATGAGGTGCAGGCGCGGGGCTACCGCACCAGGGGCGGACCGGAAGACGCTGGCAACCCGGCGTGTGATTCAGGACGCAGCATTAATTTCTGGTTTCCGGGATGTGGTAGGGTTTAGGGCGTTTAGGGTTGTGGTCGCACGCAGTCGGGTTTTCGCTGTCGTCGTAATTTAAGATGCCCCGTGTGGGGGGATTGCAAAAATGCCGGCGTGAGCGCGTGTAGCTTTGCCGCGCCCCCTAGTATGAGGGGTTGCACCGGACATTGGCCTGCGACAAGGAACAACGACAAGGTTGGTTGCATTTTGGGAGAAGTACTCCGCGATAAGGAGCGAGAACAACCGATAAGGGCTGCCAGAGACAAGCAACTTCGGATAACTTCGGGTAACCCTAAAACCTGAACCCCAAAAACCCCAAACCCTAAACGTGCCTTACAGACCCCAGGCAAGACCAAAGAGGACATCGCAGAAGCCATCGATGAGCCTGCTGCTCAAGTCCGGATATGCCGCAGCCTGGGCCATGGACTTTGAGTGTCGCATCTCCTTCTCTGAGGCTGGGAGAAGGAAACAGCCACTTGGACAAACAGTGACAGTCTGAGACATGCCGCAGGTACGCTGCAGATTCCTCGAGTGCAGATCCGCATGCTGTGTGCCATGCAATGCTGGTGTTCCTGCCGAGGTAGTGGTGCTGTCGTTTGTGGTGACAGCCACAGTCAGATGATGCCAGTGCACATGCTGTTTGGGTCAGCAGTTCTTCATGATTGCGGCATTTGTAAAGCCAGTGTAAAGCACATGACGCACGCAGTCAGGCTTATGAACTCAGTTCCGACCCTCCTTCCCCTGGTTTAGGACTTGGACCTATCTATACGGCGTAGGATTTTGAGATTAGGGTTTAGGGCTCATCAGGGCTTAGAATTTGGATGGGGATTGCAGAGGTAAGGATTTATGTTTAACGGCTTATGCTTGGGGTTTAGGGTCAGGGTTTAGGGCCGGGTTTGTTTCGCAGTCAACAAGCCGGAAGGGGTTGTGCATCTGACATGCAATGGCTGTAAGACTTAATGCTTGCACGAGGATTTTCTAATAAGATTAGTGATTAAGTGCACGCCCTTTTAGCGCCCCTCTTGTGTGTTAGTCCTGCACAACGTGCTGCTTCTGACAAAGACTTTCCAAACTTTGGATTAATTTGCAACCTACACCATGGTTATTGTCAGTATTATCTGTCTTCTATTATGTACGTCGCGCTTCGCAGAACCATTGGAGGTCGTTCACCGAATATCTCAGCTTAGCCATGCTATTGAGAAATCAAAACTCAGAAAAACCAACGCATCGGGGGGGGGGGGGGGGGGGGGGGGGGGGGGGGGGGGGGGGGGGGGGGGGGGGGGGGGGGGGGGTGCTGGGGATGGGGGTCGGTGAACCGCATACCGGGATAACGTATCAACGCATGGAGAAAACATTACCTGCACACTGCACACTCTCTGTCTCTCTATTTCTGCGAACAAAAGTAATAGAGAGGGCCCATAGGCAAAGAAGAACAAGACAAGACGAAGGCACATATTGTGAGGTGGTTGTTTACATGCTCAAGAACAAGTTTGACATGGTGCAGTTGCTTTGTATTCATTGGCTCTTTCTCTGAATCTCACTCCCATGGCCGTGTAAGGTCTGGATCAGCATTTGAACTACTACAAGATCGCAATTGCTGCGCATCTAGTGAGGCATGGGCTGCCGCTGTTCGCATCAAATAGCGACCCTTGTCTCCAGATTGGTGCAAGCATCTCGCATGCTAGGGCTCTCCACTGCTCCCGCTTTTCGCTTGTGCTTGTGGTTTGTGCGTGCTCTTGCTCGTAGTATTGTCGTGAGATTTGTGTTGTTCATGAGTCAAACCGTGAAGCCGACCGTTAACCAAAAAGAGCCGATCTCTATGACTCCGTTATGGTAAATCGGACACAGCTTAATCCCCTGGTTCTTCGTAGGGAATGGGGGAGTTAGGGCCCAACTATGTACCCTTCAAGGGAGTACATAGGGTACCTCATTCCCTCTCATTGCCTACTACAAGAACCGCCCTCCTAAACCCTAAACCCTAATATAAACCCTAAACCCTAATTATTTAGGACCTCTTCGGTCAGCTGGGCTCTGGCTCCCAGCAGTGGCCCGGCGCTGGCTCTGTCATTGCCGCGGTGGCCACGGCGGCTGGGCGGAAGGATGGCACCGCGGATGCCGTGGCAGGACCCAGAAAGAATAATCATCGAAAGTACCATAGTAAGCCCCTAAACCCTATACCCTAAACCCTAAACCCTACTAAGAGATGAGCAGAGCCGCAGAAACTGAAAGGAGGCATTGTGAGGCGGTGTCAAGAGCAGCTGCTTCTGGCAGGCAAGCCCAGCGTCGAGTTCGCGAAGATCATCCGCGCATCCCTGGGCTCCCCGCCGGCTCGGCGGATGGTCATGGTAGGCGACAGCCGCCTGCCTGCAAAAAGCCTATTAATCTTATTCCCCCAAGTAACCCCTGCATACCTTACATAGTCCCTGTACACCTAAGCTTAAGTAGCCCCTGAATAACCCCTGAAGAACCCCAAGTCAGCCGTGAAGAGCTGTGTGGTATTGAGTCACTATGCGGTTTCTGACCGACGCCACAGTCGGAAGGTGTTGGTCCCTACGAATAATTACTATAGGGCTCCCTATGGACCATAATCACTTCGAGAACTTGCCATATTTTGTGTGGATTCAACCTTCTTTGCCAACTCCATGCCAGGGCTGGACACCGACATCGCCTTTGGAAATTCTGCAGGTTCCTGGCCTAATTGGGTGTTTGCTGCTCCTTCAAAGCTCCGCTCTGAGCGTTTTGCAAAGAATCCAGGCTCTTTTTAGAGGTTTTTGCAAAGGATCCTTCTAAAGTCCTGTCAAGAGGAGCTACAAGTGAAGGTTTATGAAGTTCTGATCTGTCGACTTAAGCTCTTAGCCGCATGGCCGAGGCATGCAAACCCTCCTGGTGCTCTCCGGTGTGACATCCAGGGCTGAGGTTTCCCACGCCAGTGGAAAGTTGAGACCCGATTTCTTTGCAGAGTCTGCAGGCTCACTTTCCCTGGGGATTGGCAAGACGTAGTTCACTGAAGGAAGGGTGCCCAAAGACGGCTCCGGCTCTGTACAGGCGTCATGCTCTTCGACTTCTGAATGCGGTCAGCATCGGTTCGCTTGTAATCACGCAATGCAAGCATGCGCCTGCCGGCGGTGGCGGTGTTGAAGAGCACTCTGTTGCATTTTCCGCTGGGCACCAGCTGTCAGGAGCTTCTTCAGCTTCACGACTACCCATTGCCAGCGAGGCAAATGTTAATTGAGACTTGGCTGCCTCTGGCTGCCAGGCATGGCAATCCATATGAAAACATGACAATAGAGTTTAGGGTTTAGGGGTTAGGGTTTAGGGAACAATCCCTTAAAACACCCTTTGAGTGTTCTGGGTGACACAAGGAGAGCCTGCACCACTCCATCTCCGCCAGTGACGCAACGCAGCTTGGCCAAAGAAGGAGCTCTCTTAGAACGAGCCCCGAACATGTGCGTCGATGCGCGTCTCTGTCCTGGAGCTCCGCCTAAGGCTACATCCACATCAGGCGCAACTCCCGGTAAAATCCTGCATGTGATCCAGCATTCTGGAATATTTTTTTGTACACGATACGAAATACTAATACTATAGTATACCATAATATACGATTATTTATATGATGATATTCTAGAATATGCTATGCCTTCCCCAGCACCGAAGTGCTCAGCTTCTGTCAGGTCAGGCTTTTGGGCATCGCCCAGGATGCACTTCTGGAAGGCAGACAGAAGCTGGAGGTGGCCAAGCTGACTATCGAGGCTGGGCCTAGAAGAGGTGTTATGGGGCTTCATAGGGTTTAATGGGGATAAAGAGGGTTTGAGAGGGTTTAGTAGGGTTTAGTAGGGTTTAAAGGGTTGAATAGGGTTTGATAGGGTTTATTCGGGTTTAGGGAGGCTGGTTCCAAGAGGTGTTAGGGCTTATTAATAGGGTCTCATAGGATTCGCGATAGGGGGACAATTGGGTGTAGGGTTACTTTGCTTGTGCAGGAGAGCCTGCAACAACTCGAAATTGACTTGGCATCGCAGGCGCGCGGGGAAGGCATTGTACACCATCTCTTGACAGCGTTCCCCCACACAATTCAGATTTCGATCCTAAGCCCTAAACCCAAAACGATAAACCCGAAACCCTGAACCCTAAACCCTCTCTGCTGGGGTCGTGTTCTGATTTTGGTTTTTCGATTTAGGATTTAGGGTTTAGGGTTTAGGACTCAGGGGCCTCCCTGGATCCTTTAGGATTTAGGATTTAGGGTTTAGAATTTAGAATAAGGATTTAGGGTACAGGGGCCTCTCTAAGGGGTTCCCGGGCCTCTCTGGGATCTGTGGGATTTGGGATTCAGGGCCTCTCTAGGGTAGGATTTAGGAGTCAGGATTCAGGAGGTAGGATTTGGGATTTAGGATTCCGGGTGCCTGGATCCAAAATTGACAGGGTCTCCAGAACCAGCTATTTCAGTACTACAAACATCGCATTTTCATTGTGGGTCTAGCCAAATCCTGGGTTCCCTCCCCCCCCCCCATTGTCGGCGTTTAGTATTCGGATTTAGGATTTGGGGCCTTTAGTAGCGAATCGCCGGCTCAGGCCAATCGTAAACCCTAAATAAACCCTAAACCTTCAACCCTAAACCCTAAACCGCTGGAAGCCAGTGGGAAAGGACTCGGCGACCACCGCTGCTCTTGCCTCGGCGGAAGCTGCCAAGCGACATGCCGAGACTTCGGAGGCAACCTTTGTGTTTGCTTTCCGGTGTAGGGTTTAGGGGTTTAGGGTTGAGGGGTTTAGGGGGTTTTGGGTTAAGGTGTACAATCCTACTCTTCGGGTTGAGGGTTTAGGGTTTAGGGTTGAGGGGGTTTAGGGGATTACGGGCCTCGATTTCTAAAACTCCTAGAGCAGATGGAGCCTCGTTGGCATTGATCAGGCTACCGCCAAGGATACGGAAGCAGAGGTGGCGGAGACAGAGCAGGACTACCACCTCTGCTTCAAAAAATCGTGGCCCCTGCAGTAGCCGATCAAGATATCAGCGTGGTCCGAAAGGAACTCGAGAGAAAGCGGCAAAGTGTCAAGGACGTGGTGCAGGACGCACCTTTCAAAGCGCAGTTGAGCTGTCAGTATGGTGCTACTCAGACTCAGTTGCAATGGCAACAAGCACCACAACTTTTTTTTCGCAGCCCCCTCCTGCCTTCTTATTCTTGTGTTGCGAGGACACTGCGCGGCAGCAGCGGTGTCGCCGTGAGGCCTTGCTCGCAGAAGCATCGCTAAAGCGCCTGGCCGAGGGTGCCTGGGCCAAGGAAGAGGACCAACGAAAGGGGCTTCCGAACGGTTCATGGATTTTCAGGGCAGAGAGTTTATATGGATTGAAGGGGTTGAGCGTGTTCGGGGACAAAAGAATGCATTTGCATAGCTGCAGAACATCGCCACGCCTTGGTGCAGGAGTGGTGGGAGTGCTTCTGCAGCCTGCAGCAGCACCTCCTTGACACAGGCGAGGCTTCTGTCTTGGCATTCGTGATGTTGTTGCACAGGGGACTTGCCATTACTGTACATGCTAGAGCAGGCTAGCAAGCACCTCACTCGCCATCTTGCCTCGTAAGACGTTTTGAGATTCATTGTCAGCACCTCACGCGCCATCTTGTCCGGCAGGGGCTGAAAACTCGCTGCTGACTGCGGCGACCGTCTCGCTAAAGAAGCGACCGGAAGACCGAAGCAGCTTTGATGGCGTTGCCTGGCACTCAGAGAGGTACATCTGGTCATGCGCTGCGCTGCGACTTCGAAGCCTCAAAGTGTGCCAGGCGGTGGAAGGAGTCGGCCACTTCTTCCGCAGTCAGCTCGAGAAGGTGGATGAACAGCTCGCCCAGCAGTCGCGGCTCGAAATGGAGGTGGGCCTTGCAAAACGTCAGCGGGAGACCACAGCAGACGCATGCAGTCAACTCCGTCTACACTCACAGTGACATGAGCCTTGGGTGGCTGCAGCTTCTAAGAATCAACTCGTGTGTTCCCAAGCATTCTATGCAAGACTTCAGGCAGAAGCGACGATGCTGGGCAGCGAGGCCGACCGTCTCGAATTTGCGGAAGCGTTCCGACAATCTAAGTCAGCATGGGTCCCTAACACCAACAACCTTGATGTCACCCTGAACTACTGGACTTTCCAAGCCCTGCACCAACCAGTTCATCCTTAAATCCCCGAAACCCTTTTAAAACTCCCCCCAATGACTTCAGCAAAAAGAGGTCTTCTCATGTCAGGCCCTCGCCAACGCAACCAGGCACCGTGCGGTGCAGCAGCGGGAGGCCCGAGGGCTGGTTTGGGTTTAAAGTTTAGGGTCCGGGGCGCTTGGGCTTTTGAGATCTTTTTAAGGGTTTGGGGCGTACAAGGTTCAGTCGGGTGTCTACTGACGTTTTGTGTGGCGGAAAGGTGTTTTCAACAGTTAGGAGTCTAGCAAGACTGGAAGTCTGTCAAAGTGAAGTTTGAAATCCATTCCAGCAAAAATACAGTAGCGAAGGCACCAAAAAGTTTTGGCCAGAATGAGGAAGGGGGCGGCAAGTATCCCTAAGAGCCCTAAACAATCACCTCCTGGACGTGACGCAGTGGCACGCTTGCTTAGGCACCACAACAACTTCGTGAGTGCCCCGGATAGGCAGAATTGCCGTAACCGCGTGACGCTTTTGATTTTGTTATCCTAACAGGGACTCTGGCAACTCTACCTACACTTGCAAGCGTCTGAGCAGAAGGGCAAACTCACCAGCTGCGTTCATGAGCAACTCCTTAACGAGCGCAGCAACAATGGCCGTAACAATGTGGCGCTTCTTTCAACATGTCGGAAGTCAAAGTGAAAGTGCGACAAGCGGAGACACCGGCCAGTACAAACCCGACAGCTGGCGACCCATCCAACATACATGAAAGGAAACAAAGGGAGCAGCGGAGACATACTGTACCTATCAAACATTAAGGAAGGCAAGGGGAGACCAGCGGAAACGCAAGCCGCCGAACACCTGGCATACCCATCCAACAAGAAGGGAGACAAAAGCCAGCGGAGGCCTCCATCATGAAGACAGCAACAATTGTTTCGATTACTTTCAGAATTTCAGAACTGCCGTCGTTCCGAGTCGAACCCGAGTCATCACCGTAAGTTCGAATCATCATGCTATTACCGTAATAGCTGCTATCAACATTGCGTACGACTAGGAACTTAAGGTCAAGTTTCCAATTCTTCTTTGCTCTCCAGGCGGCCTCCGCTGCCAGCACTGCCAAGGCAGATACGTGTTTTTTTGGACACTGTATATATATATATATATATAAACATGTCCAATATGTAGGGTCATGTCAGTGCAGTGACGTTGCAGCTTCGCACAGCCCGCTGAATTTCAACCTGGCCCCAACCCGACCCCTGCTTTGCCGCGAGCCAGGAATCCATGCAGGCTGCGGCCAACACCGCCCAGGCAGCGCTGGAGGCAGTCAAGGCGACCGTGGCGCAGAAGCAGCAGGAGCAGGCCACCTTGTTCTGGTCTTGTAGGGCCGCGTTGCGCCACCTGGTCCGTGAATGAACGCTGGTGGTCTGATTGTCCAGCCAGCTTTCAGATTTCCTGCAGTCCATGTCCGCATACTGCGCTGAAAAAAGAATCAAAACGTATTATGTTGGAGTCAAGAGTCAGGTCGACGTGGACGCGAGACTGGTAGCCATCAATGAGGCCATCCGCTGTTTACCCTACCAACAAGGCAGCAGCTTCCCCAAACCCCCCCAAAAGCATGCAGTTGAAGAATTCTTCACCATCTTCATTCACGTGGGACATGTTGGGACTACGCCAAGCAGTAGCCTGTGCTAGGCCCTGGAGCTTCTTGCCGCGTGGATAGCGGGGAACGCCCTTCCGGCTACTGAGGCCAAGAGCACAGCACCTCGATCTGGAGTCCCTTTCAGGGAGCCCAATTCCCCGTAGTTCAGTGAAGCTACAGAGCGGAGCTTCTGAATCAAGGTCTATATTGCCTAGTGAACGGGTCGCCACCTTTGCGCAGTACGCAGACACTGTGCAGGTGCCTCCGGCAGAGAAGGCTGCTCTCCCTGAGGCCAGGGATCCCGAAGCCAGGATATGAGGGTTGATTTAAGCTACGTCAGATACTTGAAGTGGAGATCCCCTGAGAAGTTAGATTTCACCCCCTTTTTTCAGGCTTTGCGATGCCGGTTTCGGGGTCGTGGGGCTTTGGACTGCTTACGAACCCTCAGAACAGGGGCCTCACCCTTTTTTGTGGGTTAATTTTCTGTGGGGAGATTCTTCCTGAACTTCTCAGCTGATCAGGAGCCAGTGCCGTGCCTATGGACCCCGTTGCGCATATCATATGACCGAGATGGGCATGTTGGTTCAAAGATTGCCCGCGACCCCCCGGGCCGCGACACTTGATAGCGAAAGTGCAGCGAGGCTGCAACTGGGAGGGTCTTAAGGTGATGGGTTTATTTGTAGTTGGGATGTTCCCGGGTAGACTAACAGTCCTTAATAGGGATGGACATACCCCCTATTCTAATCCCTATTCAGGAACGTTTGTCAAAGGGGGGAAACGTCCCAAGTTGATGGGTTTCAGGGTAGAAATCATTGGGCCCTAGAGGCCGCACGGGTTGCCTTTCAGCCTTTGCAGGGCTGAGGATTGCTTTGTCCAGCCTGCTCTAGTACTGGCTTAAGAACCCCCCCAAAAACACAAAATATTCGTCCTTATAAGGGTATAATAGGGACTATTTGTTTTTTATTCGTTTGGTGCTTGTGTAACAGTGTAGTTTGCAGCGAGGTTCCAATTTCATTTTCATCATGACCGCCGGTGTCGATGCGATTTTCATCCTTTCCTCCTTCGCAGCACCCCTCGCGGTGACCTATGGAATGCTGGGTCATGGAGCTGGAGGGGGCGCTTCCCTCAGCACCAGCTTTACCTGGCACCCGATTCTCATGTCCTTTGCTTTTCCATGCTTAATGGTGCTGGGCCGCTGGGTCTATGTCACGGAGTCTCTCGGCGACAAGCAGGAACAGCGATCCGCCCACCGTGGGCTCATGATTTTGAGCACTTTAGTTGCCATCGGAGGATACGTGGCAATATTTATGTCTCACGCGAAAATCCCCTCGTTCTTTGGGTACAACTTTGCCAAGCACACTTGGGCTGTGCCAGCACGTATTTGCCACGATTTCTTGGGATACTCCGTCCTCTTGGCGATGCTCTATCAAGCAGCAGTGGGTATAATGAAGTATCGGAATCTTGAGGCTGGGCAGAGGTCTTTTCCATTTCATGGCAGCCTGGGCAAAGTGATTCTCCTGCTTGGACCGATGAATATTGTGACCGCCTGCCTTTTCTGGGGCTGGAGCCCGGCCTTCAAAGTCCTGGTGGCTTGCCTCGCCTCATTGGCAGCGCTTTGTGGAGCATTCTGGCCGGCACCTGCTAAGCCTGAGAGTGCCCCCCTGGCAGAGTCCATGAAGGCATAGTTACTACAGTTGACGCTACAGGCAAAGCTCTGCAATTCACACCAGCGCGCGGCATGTGATGAAAGACAAAAGGAAACTCCTTAAGCGCGCGGGTTGAGTTACAGCTGCTACGGATGCCGGCCAGGTTGCATGCCTGGAGATGGCCTGCTGCGAACCGAAAGATGTCGAAAAGGCTCGGCACGCAGCTTGCAGACACGGATGCTGTGACGACTTGTTCGTGCCAGGAATCGTCTCATGAGACCTTCGACACCCCACTAGAGGAGGCACGTCTGTCAATGCCCGCACCTAATACTCTTGCCATACTGTACTGTACTATGCTGTGCTATATTATTACTATATATTCTTATATTATACCATACTGTACCATGCCATGATGCCATGTGCAGTAGTACGGGCTCGTCAAGAGCTTTTTAGGTTGTCATCGGTCTAGGGCCTGCTGTGGGTGTGAGCCCGTGCTCTCGCAAAATTCAGCAATTTGCCTAGCTGGGGGTTCCCGAAAATAGGGGTACCTTACTGGGGCCCGCATAATAAAGGAATCCTGTTATTTGGGGGTCTATATTGGGGTCCCTTATTTTCGTAACCCACAGATGCTGCAGCTTGGCAGGAAGGCCAGAGATCGCCAACTACCTCTCGAAAGATGCCTCTGGATTTAGGCAGCTGTGCAGGGTACCATGTCAATGGGCACAAGAATCGGCTGTTGGCCTCGTATGCCTAGATTCCTTTGCTCATCGCCATCGTCATGCCTGCTTTCGTTTGGGTGGCACACCTGCTCTCGGACATATCCCCATGAGATCTTGCGAGGCATGAAGGACGACACTGCAGCCCTTCTCAGCGGCATCAACAGCCCGTTGCGCGTTCCAACTCCCATGAAGGGCCGGAACCTCAGCTGTGGCCATCATGAAATGTTAGCTGCTACAGGACATCCTGCTTGCATGCACCCCATAGCACCTCACACTGCCCAGCGAATGGCGCAATGATAGCTGCGCCTCGCCAGGACGCAAGTGAGTCTGTGTACATTGCGCGGCTTCGACGGCCAACGTATTGCTGTTGCGGCCAGCGTGAAACGGTGTACCCAGATCTCAGCCAGCGCAGAAATTGTGAAGCACGCCGCTGTGCCATGAAGATATGAAAGTAGTTCAGTTAAACCCATGAACAATGTACTGCCGGCTGCCACAGGCCACAGTGTTACAGTATTGCAGATGGTGCAACCACTGCAGCAGACGAGCTCACGACACAGCTGACAGGATCTTCAGACACAAGCAAATTTCGATCGCGCCCTGTACAGTAAAATGGTCTACGCGCATAATTCGCAATTCATGCCAACTATGCAAGGTGAAGCTGGAGAAGCTCTCATTGTGCCAGTTAAATGCAAGCCGCAGTTGCACAGAAAAAGACGGGCATGCTTGCTGCTGTGGCTTTTCTGCGAACTTGGGCTGATATGGATTGTGTCCGACCTTCGTGAGAAAGAGAGTGCGCAGGGCGATCCATGCAGGTGTTCCGCTTCACCGCAGGCACTCGTATTTATCCGCCGCTTCGATACGACTTGGGGCCCCTAGAAAAACACTCGCCACAGGCCACAGGTCAAGCGCAGATTTCACTCTTTGAAGTTGCGCTGCCCTACCGGGTCGTTCAAAAGACATCAAAAGACGACCTAATTACTTCGTCGCTCTCTTGTCCCACCTCCACAGAGCTTGCCACGGCTGGAAGTCTGGATCGTAAATTCGGCACGGTGAAGGGGGTTGCTCATGATGCAAATTAGGCGAGCGGGGCAGGCACGGGATTCAACTGAGGCAAGTGCCAGAACACAGTCAGGTAACGTCCCACTGGCATAAAAGGAGAGATGCGAGTGGCAGGCGGGGCAAAACCTGTGCGCACACTGGGGCGTTTGGTATGATTTTCCATCGATGCCCATCTGAGGAGTTCCTGTCACCATCAGTAGACTTTCTAAGTCTTTGGAGATCACGTCCCGTCCCGTCCTCAAACGAGCCTTTCCTGAAAGGAGTCTGAAAGGCCACTTACCTCCTCGGTTCGAGAGCTTCCGTGCTGACTCTGTTGATTCGGAGCACAAAATCTTCGCGAATGGACTACAAGTGCCCCCAGACAAGCCCGGGACAAGCCCACCGAGCAAAGGACTCCCTGCGAGTCCATCCTTGGAGTCCCCGCCCCCCAGACAAGAGCGACAACCCCCAGAGAAGAGTTTGCCGAGTATCCCAACAGAATCTTGCGTACAACGTCGGGTGAGCCCCTGCAAGCCCAAGGAGCCATGCTGAAGTTTCGCCCCACCACGGGAGTCAGATGGCGTATCACTGTATCACCCTTCTTACCTTGTCCATTGTCCACTATGTGAAGCACGAACTGTTGCCAGAGTCGCGCATCTTGCCGCCATTCAGCATGTCGAAGGCTTCAGCACACCCCAGGCTTTGCTGGCCTCGTTGCGCCAGCGACGCCCCTAAGCGGGGCAGCGCCTTGACTCGCGGTCCGGTCCGGTGACGACGACGCTGTCGCCCAGCTTGTGCCTCCCACAACGCTTGAGTTTGAGGCTGGCCTCTTCAGGGCCTCTTCGTTTGACATACCAGGCGCATAGCAAACGATAGCAGGCGAAAGCATACAGCTTGCCTGTCTTTGCATCTTGGCAGCGCGTGCATGCGGTTTCATTCACGCTGGGAGCCCTGCTCTTCGCCGCGACCCGAGCTTTGCAGCGTCACAGCGTCGCTTCGGTGGCTTGTGCTGCACGTCAGCGATTTGCTGGGTGACGCCAGCCGCCCCATGCCGCCCTATGTCCCTATGCCGCCCCGTAACCTGCCATCTCCCGACTCCCGGCTGAAACGAGGGCACGAGTCGCCAAGTCGTGAGAGTCACTAGTTCTCCAGTACGTTCCAAGTTGCGCACACTGCTTTTCTACCTGCCAGATTGTACGTACACCTGTGGGCCCGAGATGCCCCAAGTGTTTCCCGGGCGCTCAAATCGTACGACAGGAAACGCTTCATGGAACGGCAGAGGCCGCTTGGAGAGCAACGTTGTCGAAAAAACTGCTGACTTCCGCAAGGCTCATGCGGCTGTGGCTGAAGCGTGCGGCATGGACTCAAACCAAGACTTCACACACCAACTAATCCACGTCGGAGCAGAATACCGGAGGAACAGAACATCGAAGTGCCGATGCCACTGGCGTCGCTTTTGTTGTCATGCATGTTGCAATGCGCCGGTTGCTACGTTCGGAACACATCGGGCAGCCCCCGGGCCCCATCAGAGGATATGATGCCAAAGTGACTACTCCAAGTTGCTTTCGACCGAGCCACTTGAAAATAGTCCTTTTTGGGGGCCTCCCCGTGGCGCGCATTCGTCCCTATTGGTCTGCATGCCGCATCCACATGGGATCTTGAGGATGGAATTGGTCGGCGAGTTGCCTTGAGGAAGTTTGTGCTTGGTTCAAACAGTTCCAGCTGCGGATGTGGAACGAGTCCTTGAGCAGTTTTGTTTAGAAAACGTTTCTGTGTCACACTTTGGGTGCCCAGGGGGACATGTCTTGGCGCTGGATGCTGTGACGCGGGCTTCGGACCGTTGTCTGCCATTTGTGTACCTACTATCTATTGTGTTTATCCTTTTTTCCTCCCAACGTCTCGTCGCCGGATGCCGTGACGCGCGTGTCTCCCTCGATTGTCTCCCATGTGTCTTCTGACGTTTCGGCAGTGGATGCTGTGACGCGTGTCTGGGACAGTTGTCTCCTCTCACTCTTCCATTTGTTTCTCTGATGTCTCGACGCTGGATGGTGTCTCCCAGATGTCTCGACACTGGACATTGCGCACATGAGTGCTGATTTAGAAGCCTCGATGATCAGAGTTCATGTTTCAAAAAGTCTTGCCCCGTGTGGATCCGTGTGGGCAATGCATCTTTCGCGTGCAATTATGTTGTTTCACCATGTCGTTTCCAGACATGCTCCCGTGAACCCGGCATGGCGGGTTGCAAAGGTGCACCGAGAGGTGTGGTCGAACTCGTTTGTTCCCCAATAGTTGACATGTTGGGGCCCACAACTAGGTCACGCGCGCGTGAGGCGCCTGGCTAGGGGGTGAATGAGCTCATCTCTCGGGTATTGGCACGATTTTAACAAAAAAAACAGGGTTCTTTTCAAGAGCCCAAACGATTCGTGACCAACTAACTGGGTCCTTGGGTGGGGCAGATTTCGGAAGAAACAACACGTCGGGGTCGCTGGGCACGCGGTGTCCCGGTCTTTTGGTCGGTGTCCCGATCCATGTCCCGGTTGTTTGGCCGCCAAGCTGCAGGCCGCCCTCGAGAGTGACATAGTGCGAACATGTGCGAACATCAGACAACCGTCGTCTCGTTGGACGACCGCAGCGCGTACGACTGCATTTCCCGCGCTGCTTTCCTGCGCAAACTTCGCGATGTCGCGCGGGGACCTCGCACTTCTGACTTTCAACTGCCAATCGCTGGGGAAGGGCAGTTCTCGGCTTCAGGAGTTGGCCACGGATATGAATGCGGTTAGTGTGTCGGTTGCAGCTCTGCAGGGCACCCGGTGGAAGTCTGACGATCCTCGAGGTGAATGGACAGTTCATGGGATCTCGGGCCAGCCGTTTTTTCGCTGTTTCTCTTGGGGACGGCCTGCACTGTACTCGCGTGCTGTTGTCCACACACGCTTTGATCCACCACATGGGCTGAAAGGTCGGCTTGGAGGCATCCGACTTGTTGGCCGGACCGCGGGTCAGGAGCTTGACGATCTTTTCATAACGGCCTATGGCCCGCAAGAAGCTGCCCCCGACGCTGATCGGCAGACTGTTTTCCAAGCGGTTCTTGAAATCACACATGCTGTTCCTCGCCGCACACGTGTGTGGCTTCTGGGCGACTTCAATGGGCACGTTGGCACTGACGCGCGAAGCCCGGCTG